CTGTATACTACATAACGCTACTAACAAGAAAACATTACGATAAAGTAATTAAAACCTCCCCTGAATTTAATTAAATAACGAGTTAACGTTAAGATGTTTGAAAGTACCGCGGAAGCGTGCGCTGATGCGCGTGCGCACTGGTACTAGTAATGGCTGCTGCTCGCACATGCACGCTGTTCCCAGAAAAGTATCTATTCCGACCATAAAAGTGGCGCCCTAGTCTCTCCCACAAATAATAGAAGTATAAAAGAATTGGGACTATGAATAGTATAATAGTATAGCATAAATCTAAAAAAGCGTGTATGACGATAACTCGCGTACTATAACACGTTATAAAAACCAAACGGGGATTTTAATAAGGTCGAGAGAAAGTAATGCTCTAACGTTAATAGCCTGCGGACTTTCGTGCATTTACAGGAAATTTGTAAAATACACCCAGTATGCAATAATATAGAAAAATATTGAAAGTAAAATTCATATTATATTCGCAAGATAAAATAAATTCTTATTTAGGCTCGATTTCTAGAGCTACGTTTGCGAAGATTGTATTTTGCATTAGCAAACATCTGCAGTCTAACGATAACAAACTATGTTAAAGAGTCTTTACTAAAGACTATATGGTATAGCACGATGAAAAATCTACACGTATTGAATTAAAGTACCCTCTTAAAAGAAACCCGAACCTGACCCTACATCATTTCCTATAGGTACAGTACTGCGCCCACTCCACTACGCACGCGCGAGTGACGTCAACTATGACTCCCGCGCGTGCGCTGGTAGACAAAGGCAGACAAGGCAACGCGGTTTCCACTCTCTTTCTAGCACCACTCTTTCCCCCACTCTATCTATACTTCTACGATCTTAATTAGTTAAACAATTATCAGACCTCATCTGTTGACGCTTTTCTAATCGCAAATCGGCCTATTCGAGCCACGAATGTCCCTAGAGAGCCGAGTTATCAATCTCCACGCCCATATAAGCCTATCGTCGACAGATCGACGCAGGGTCGTTTTAGCAATATTGGCGCCCCGGACAAGATTATCGTGGCGCCCAGAGGCTTAAAATTTTTAAAAAAAGAAGACAAGGTAATAATATCAAACGATGAATCTGTAGCTAGATTGTAAAGATTGTTAAAGTACAATATATAGCAGTTTTACTAATTTACACCGGAGTGCGACGCCCTAAAAAATCTGGCGCCCCGGGCGGTTGCCCAACCGCGCCTCCCTTAACGCCGGCCCTGGATCGACGCTGACAATTCTCTCCCACTAACTACTCCGAAACTACGATTTCGGAACGCGTGCAATCTTCGAAAAGGCATCGCTGGCGTCTACAGGGTGTCCCAAAAATGGTGGAGATCATTGAAAGGGGTGATTCGGGAGGTGATTTGAAATAACTTTTTCCTTAGCGAAAATGTTGTCCGAGGCTTCGTTGAGGAGATATTAACGGAAAACGTCGACCAATCAGGGCACGAGTATGCCGGCGGAGCGACCAATCAGAGCGCGCGTATACCGTATACTCGCGCTCTGATTGGTCAGTGTTTTCCGTTAATATCTCCTCAACGAAGTCTCGTACAACATTTTCGCTAAGGAAAAAGTTGTTTCAAATCACCTCCCGAACCACCTCCTTCAAGGTGTTACAACATTTTTGGGACACCCTGTATATTCGAACGATGGGAACTTACTTTGCCTCGCGACCAATTACGAACACCGTGAGGGAGCACCGTTGTCAAATTCGTATCTAAATACACCGTACATCGTCAACAACCGAGATTTAACTCGATTTTTTCGAAAGAAACTTCGCGAGATATTACCCCGCATTTATTCATTTATTTTTGGATAAGAAATCGCGTTGCGGTCACGAATTATGTCGCGCCCCACTATCCGCAATTCCGCGAGTGTATCACGCCCACGACCAACAATCGAGTATTACATCCGTGAAAACTGATAAAAATGCAAGGCCGCATCCCGGCGGTACGCGAATACTTTCGTAAGCCAACAGGAATTTTCAACGTTCCCGCCGTCTAGCAATTGCGTTTCCATCGTAATTCGACAAACGTTCACGCAGTGGCGCTATCGATACGGATTGGCTGGATCATTTGGGAGCACCTTATTTGGAAGCGCGCCCCTGCTCCTGCGAATACCTACCCCCTTTCGACCGCCGGTCACGTTATTATCACTTACAACGGTGTCCCTAACCGCGAGCCTTTTCCAGCGATTCCTTTCGTTTCGTCGAATTGATTCCCTCTTTGATTTCCTCCTTTCGGAGCACTTTGATACGTACGGGCCCGTCGGTGTACACCACTAGCGGAAACGGGAATATATCGATTCGTTACGACGAACGGGAAAAGGGCGAGCACACGCGTTCGCGGGGATATTTTTTTTCCGTTTGGTATACGCGCAGCGAAATATCTCACCGTGAAAATTTTTTCCTGATGACAGGCGATGCACGCTTTTGGAAAAGAACTCTCCCCACCCCCCGGGTGCCTCGCACGCTAAGGATGATGATGACTGCGCGCGCTTCCTAAGCGCAAGATGGCGGACGCGCTCGCGGAATATACGAATACTTAGTAACTAAATTCGTAGAATTTGAATTAGACGAAATCTCTATCTTATTATACGATAAATCGATAGATAGAGACATGTTTCGTTGCAACGGAAACTATAAACACAATTCTATTGTTATTAATCCGTGTAACTCGAGTATATTGCCGTCAGGGCCGGTTTTAGCAGTATTGGCGCCCCGAGCAAGATTATCGAGGCACCCAGGGGCTTAAAATTTCTAAAAAAATAAGTCAAGGTAATAATATTAAACGATGAATCTGTAGCTAGATTGTAAAAATTGTTAAACTACAACATACAGGATGTCCCAAAAATGTTGTAACACGTTGATAGTGGTGATTCGGAATGTGATTTGAAACAACTTTTTCCATAGCAAAAATGTTGTCCGAAGCTTCGTTGAGGAGATATTAAGAAAAAACTCCAGACCAATCAGAGCGCGAAGATGCCGGTGGAGCGGCCGTGGTAGGCGTAGGCCACGCGCTAGGCGACCGCCCTCCGCCGGCATACTCGCGCTCTGATTGGTCGACGTTTTCCTTTAATATTTCTTTAACGAAGGTTCGGACAACATTTTCGCTAAGGAAAAAGTCGTTTCATATTACCTCCCGAACCACCTCTTTCAATGTGTTACAACATTCGTTAAGGAGAAATCGCGCGTTGCTGTTCTTTCCGCAATTGAATATCTGTAATTCGACTCTCAGTTGTTCGCGAACTGTAGCGGTATTCGCGACACATCGTAATAAGAAACCAAACATTTTTCGCGCGTGGAAACCGTATCTCTGGGATACACTCGATTTTTCCCGCGATCAAGAATTCGAAATTTCATCGCCTTAGCGATGAACCGGCCAGAAGACGACGAGTACCGTTCCATTTTTACCAAGAGGTATCATGTACTTAAGGCGGAAGAACCTTCGTTGCCGGTTATATATTACAGATCCCAAAATCCTTTTTCTAGTAAGTTTGTTATTTTGGAAGGATAAGCATAAGCGTATGAAATTACGGTAGTTGTAAATTTCGATACGATAGTTGCAAGTTTTGTTAGAAGCAACGATTACGTTTGTTAAGATCGAGTAAATTTTAGTTTGTACAGTCTTGAAAATTAAACGAATCTGTATTCGTAGATTTTCATAAATTGAATAAATGACAAAATTTTGAATAACGCGCCTTTAGGAGGCGCGATGTTATTCGCAAGATTAATTGATTCGAACGTGGAAATAAGCTTCGGGATCAGTTAAAAATGTTAAATTATTTTCGGACGTATTTTATTAGAATTGAATTGTATTTGCAATGCATTTCGTTTTGTTGCTAAGAGTAATTTTATTTTGGGAGCATTCGGAACGGAGATCGTTCACTTAGCCGCTCAATGAGCGGAATTTAGTACCAGTGGCGCCATCGGTGGCGAAATGTCCAAGTTTGTAGTGAAAATAGATGTTACCACTACTTAAAGGGTCGAGAATTATTGCTAAATTAAATAACTATTCATAAAAATTGCAAATTTGACACGTTATTTAATATATTGTAGCGTTACGAACCATAGAATCGTGTTAATTATGCAGTTATAAGAAAATAAAGAAAAATAGATCGAAGGTGTTAGTAGCGCCATCTTAGAAATACGGTGGGAACTGTTTTCACTAAAAACTTGGACGCTTTATCACTAGATGGCGCCACAGACTAAGGGTGGTTAAATATTGTTAAATGTTGTAACACATTGAAAGAGGTGGTTCGGGAGGTGATTTGAAACAACTTTTTCCGTAACGAAAATGTTGTGTGGGGTTTCGTTGAGAAGATATTAACGGAAAACACTAATCAATCAGAACCCGAGGCGGCCGCGCTCCCCGACCATTCAGAGCGCGAGTATACCAATAGAGCGCCCGCTGATTGGTCAATGTTTTCTGTTAATATCTCCTCAACGAAGCCTCGTACAAAATTTTCGCTAAGGAAAAAGTTGTTTCAAATCACCTCCCGAACCACCCCTTTTAAGGTGTTATAACGTTTCTGGTACACTTTGTATTACAATTGCCAAATTGATGGAAAGTCGTCTCAATCCTTTTCTTAGCAACGCCATCTTGCGACGACAGTGAGAACTACCTTCGCTACAAGCTTGAGCGTTTCGTCACCGATGGCACCAGTGGTACGAAAACTCGCTACCCAGGGTCGTACCAAGGTTTCCCGCATCCTAGTCTACGAGTCCAATAAATCTTCTGCACTTCCAAAAAAAATTTTTTAAGTTTTTTCTAAAAAAAATTTCGTCCGAGATAACATACACACATTACATTTATCATTCCCGAAATTGACACCCTGTCCTATTTGTTTGGAACTACCCTACCTGTAACCGTTAAAGCGCCCTTCTTTCGGTCGGCCCTGAACGTGCCCCAAACTTATCGAACATTGGGAACGGGGGTACTGCACCCTCGCGAGCAACCATTTCGTACGGTAATGGTCGTGACGCGGGCAGTGATGCCGTAGTCAAGGAGACCGCAGTAGCAGACAACCAACACTCCGACCATTCGACAACAAAATATATAAGTTCGTCGGAGTGTCCTGTCTCGTTTTTTCCGTTACGGTAGTTTGGCTGTCGCGTGGTCTCCTGGGTGACGGGCACGGCTGTTCCTTGAACGGGAAAAGATCGACCGAAATACGTGGGGGAACACGTTCGGACGCGCAAGTGCGCCCGGGCGTCGTATTAGAGTACACGCCATTCATGAAGACAGGTGAGCGAAAAAGAGACCTACGAGTCTCGCTGTCTTACCATTCCGATAACGATACTTTCGGTATCGATGCTTTGTTTTTCTAGAATTTATTCGTTCATGTACAGGGGAACGTCGCGTACGGTCCTGAATTTTGAATTCCGACCGCGTTATCTAGTGGGTGATAATCATTTTATAGTTGACAATATGTGGGTTCATTATGATGACTATTTGCGGATACCAGGTATAATATAAGCTGGGTCGAGAAGGGATCGGTCTATGATGGAAGGAAAGTATAGAATAATTGTATCGTTGATGATATCGGGGTTCATTATGCAGACTATTTGTGGGTAGTAGGTTTAACGTAAGTGGGGTCAAGAAAGTATCAATTGGATATGATCAAGCTTCTTGATCTTGATATCGAACGGTCATAATTGTTTGTTGATATCGAGACCCTTGAAACTCTCTATTCCCAGATATTGTAATGTACCATTAACACATTGAATGGTCTGTAGTTTGCAAGCTTTATTCCATCCTTTGTATGCCTGGATCAATCTCTGAAGGAAACTTAATGTATCTATAGTATGTAAGTTATACCTAATCCTTTGTATATCTAGAGTAATATAGAAAGAAATTCAATGTATATCAATGCTTCACCATTTGGTAGTAATTACATTTATAACACAATTCAACAATATTTCTCATTTTGACATCATTAGCGTTATACAATGTTTATGTACAATATTCATTTTGTCTGTTGGAATCATTTCCAGATTAATATTTACACAATATCTCATAATTTGTATAATAATAGAAGCACACAATCTCAATAATAGATAACAAAGCATTAGTTGTCTCATCAAAATTATTTAAAATATTTATTTTGTCTGTTAGAATCATTTCCAGATTAATATTTATACAATATCTCATAATTCGTATAATAATAAAAGCACACAATCTCAATAATAGATAACAAAGCATTAACTGTCTCATCAAAGTAGATAATCAATACACTACCAATTGTTAAAGCATTAAGTCGATCGAATTAATATTTCAAAAACTTAATATCCTCAGAAATCCTACATTTTCCAATTCACTGGTTCCCCCTGAGCATCCCTGTATCAATAAAGAATGATTCCTTCCGTACTACTTCTTCCATGGAAGGGAATCATTGTGGATTTCTTGCTTTCGATATTCCCCTATCACCTTACGCTTTACTGAATTTATTGTGCACCCTCATCCAAGGGGTATCTGATATCTGCAGCTTTTAATTAAAATGGGCTTATCAATTATGTCAATGAACTTCTTGAGGCACGAAAGGAATAGCACAGCTGGAAACCAGCTCCTTTTAACTATTCAATTATTGTTCGTGCATTATTTGTTTGCATGCATGCTTCGTTATACTTGAATTTCAAGTTCTGTGCATTTTGATTCCTGTATATTTTCCTTTCAAGTTCGGCGCATTGTAATTCTTTCGTATTGTCTATTTTTCTTCATCGTACAGAGATAGCAGGTTGGAAACCTGACTGTGGATTTTTGAATGATTTCTGAATGCGCAGGAAATTACGAAATGCGAAAAGTATGCAATAAGATTCAAAAATATTGAAAATAAAGTTTACATTATTGTAATATTTGCAGAGTAAAATAAATTCTTAATTAGAAACAAGAATTATTTACTTAAACTTGTATAAATTTGCACAAAGTATGCAATAGTATTAAAAACAATTGAAAGTAAAATTTCATAATATTTGCAGTGAAAAATAAATTCCTAGTTAGAAGTTATTTACTTAAATTTATATAAATTTACACAAAAATCCACAGTCTACCATTAGAAGAGAGTGGAAAGTTTGAATTTTACAAAGCTTCCAAGGGAAATATTCCCAAAGAACAAAAAGCAAGTATTGTAAAGCAAGAGAGATAAGACACGACAGAGTGGTCCCAAAGCCCAGTCATGCGTATCACAGGCCAGGTGTACACACTGTGGGTTTTCCAATGTAACCACTACCCTGTAGAATGGCATGGTAGCTCCTGTAACTATACACAAATATTATTTCTTTCATTTACTCTAAACTATAAGAGAACAAAATAATTATGCTGGTAAGAAAATGAAGATAGATAGAAATAGATAGGAATTGTTTTCAATGAACTAACAAGTGTACGTTGAACATACTGGTGGCCCCCTTTCGATAGGAAACTCCTGCTCCTTCCTACGAGCACCTGGACCCCTAATTAAAGAACTTATTGCTACTGGTCGGAAGGGAGTTTTAATGCTCTCTAATTGCATCTATGATCTAACCTTTTCCACCGATACACCCTAAACCCCTTGCAAAAGAGCTCTATGTGTCCAGTCACGCGTACAGGGCATTTTAGCCACCACCCCTCTCCCTTTCTGCCCTTTGTAACATTGTGTTTGGTACCTGCCACCCTACAGGTACAGGACGTACCAACACACTTTGCTATACACTCGTCGCAACGACCATGACGTGTTCCTTTCGCATTGGAAGCTCCTCGGGGCTTCCCTTTGATCTGCAGATATAATATTGAATCCTGTACACCTGCGAAAAATTACTCGATTCACCATTTGTAGGTTAGGGTGCCCTGCTAATCTATCTGCATATCAAACGATTCATAGGGGAGTTCGATCACATAAATGGGCTCGATTCGTAAACATATTTGTTACGTTTTCAACAAATGATGAATTCTATGATTTTTCTTTCCTCTAAATTTTTTTTTTTTTGAAATGAATTTTTAGCCACAATATGCATGTAAACAAATCAACATATATCCTCAAGATATAATCAATATCAAGTTTAATCGAGCAAATGCAAGCAAGCTCTGTACTCTAGTAAGAAGAAAAGAATTTTATCTTCTGCCAGGAATTACAAGTTCCTTGAAACTATCTTTTATATCACAATAATATAGTTTCTCTCTTCTATTAGCTTTCTCCTCTTATTAGTTTTCTTGTATGTTACATTTTGTGAGACGGAGCAAGGGGATTTCACAGCAGTAGTCGGAAGACATTATTGATATTTGCAGCACCTGTGTGCGTTGCAGATCCTACCCTCCAGAAACGGGGAGGTAGCAGTGGTGGTGATACCGTGGGAGTAGAGAGAGCCGAAGGAGTGATCACCATGACTACGACAGGAGCCCAGTATGCCCTCGCAGCATCCACCAGAACTAATAACGGTGGGGGTGGCTCTACAACAGTGGGGGTGGAACCTAAGCCAAGCGTCGTTGTCGTGACTACTTCCAGTTCAAGTGGCAGTGGCAGTGCGGCACAGAGTCAGTCCACCAGGGGCCAGCAACTCATCACTGTCGTCACCAGCCCTGATCCTTCCAGTCCAAACAACTTGCAACCCATCCAGGTTTGTTACATTATGTTACTTTGATTATTCATTCAAAGTAAGATTTCTTCTTTCATTCGTTGCAAGAAGCTTGTTTTATATTTAAACTTACAACAAAAGTATATTATTTGAATATTTTGCGTGCGCTTGCGATAAGATTTCTTCTCTGGAATAATTTAACATTGCAATTAACTTGTTTTATATTTAAATCTACAACTAGAGTATGTTATTTGAACATTTTGCATCCACTTGCAATAAAATTTCTTCTCTGCCTTAATTTAACATTGCAAAAAGTTTGTTTTATACTCGAATCTACAACCAAAGTATATTATTTTAATATTTCGTGTGCGCTTAGATTATAATTTACAAAAAACCAGACTTGATTTATTACTTATATGTTATCGAAGTGTATACTCGAAAGAAATCTTTTGTAAACACTGATATTGTTATTATATAGACCCTAACAGTTGATGACGAGAACATGCATACTATAAATAATAATTTAGTTATTGGTTCAGGATCCGCTTGAAGCAGCTGCAGACTCTTCCAACGGCTCGACAGGTACCCCAGCACACGTCACAGCACAAGTTGTAGTGAACACTACCCACTCTGGTCAGCACACCCTTGTGGATTCAGACACTGCGTCCACATCAGCTGGCACTATCGTCAGTGGTTCTCCGCATTTTATTACTGTAACAGGTGTGTTTTAAGTAAAACAACTGTGAAACACTCTTATTTCACGTTCAGTCTTGATACACTATCAGTCTTAATACGCAATCAACATTGTCAATTACTAGCAGAGATTTGTTTAAAGAGTTGGTTCTGTAGCGATCAATGATTATGTATACGTAAAAGAAATTGCAATGAGTTGTTGAAAGAGTTACTATGTTAGGGGTCAGTATCAGGATCAGTTTGAAAAATTATAGTGTTTGAGTAGAGATTTGGCCCTTTCCATGCTGCTGAAAAACATGCACCTCTGTCCTTCTACTCTGACCACACTAGGCACCAGTGATTCACCATCTTACGCGTCTCTCACGACGGCAGTAGGTGAGGGCAGAACATAATCAGCATGCGTTATTTTCATTAATTATGTACATATATTTATAAAACTATAACGTGTCGTATATTAATACACTCTTGATTTTGCATGTATACGTCTCACGTTAATACATAGTTGTATCTATAAAAAAATATAAAGGAAAAAAGAAATGTAAAGAATGTCAGATATGATTTTGAGAATGTTGACGCTCTATTTTTTCATCTGATTTCTTGGCAAGGTACAAGCCTGTCTTGAATGTTCGTGCATCTTACCAAGTTTTATCATTCGAAGGGTGTAAATAAGTTAAAACGCATCGTCTCTGTTTCAGTGTCAGGGGAACCAGAGGCAGTGGGGTCCGAGTCAGTTTCTCATCCCACTTATGTTCAGTACGTTGAGGGGGATGGGTCCACGTATATACCGACAAATGGTCAGATGTGAGTACATACATTACGTGTTGGATCTTTTAATCAAAGGAAGGTGCAACAGATCAATGCAGAAAAATATTCTATCCAATGATGAGGTCTTCGATAAAGTTTTTCCAAGGTCTTCGATGAAGTTTAATTACAAACATTGTATGTTCGCAGGACATATCCTGTGTACGCTGTTGGAGAAGCAGGAGCAATGTACACTCCTGCTTCCAGTCAGTATTACACACCAGCGTCCACTCCAGTGACATACACACAGGTAATCCACAAAACTGGTAATCCTATAACAACGAATACAATTGAGTACAATTGAGATACGATACTTGTCCACAATTAAAGGTCACTGGACAAGGATCGAATTCGACAACAGGACAGTTACTATCTCAGGGCAACGGCACATACTTAATCCAACAAAGTGTAGTGGACGGAGACCCTACAGCACACGCGCTGATATCCGCAGCTGCACGTGCCAGTCCACAGACAGAAAATGCTGTAAGATTGCATGTTTACAATCTCCGTTTCTAACTGCTTCTGTTTTCCCGTTTCCTTTATCGTTTGAAACTTTTAGAAACTGTTACGTAACGCAGATCTTTATTCCCACAGGGATGGGAGCCCTGCATGATTGCAAAAGGGGGAAAAAGAGCGATTCTAAATCGAATAATTCATATATTTTTGATTAAAGAACGAACGATGCTCGCGATTATAATTGTTAGGAACTTTGTACTCTTTCTCCTCTATTTTAATGAATGGAAATTTATGAAATGCGATGTACCTTTTTAAATTCGGGGTTTAACAAGCTATTGGTGTCTTGGGTTGTTCGATAGGAAACTGTGGTTAGCGGGGGTGGAGGGGCATACTTGATCAGCGGTAATTCAGGAGGTACTCCCGTCACCGTGGAAGATGCTGCAGCCGCTGCAGCAAACATGACGCATGCCACTAGAGTTTCTCAAGCCACAGTAAGAGATACACCATCCTTATTCGCAGGCTTAGCCTCGTACTAATTTACCGTAGCATGTTTCTCAATGATAACTGCTTTAGGGATTCTTTATATTCATAGGTGCGCTTTATTGTACTCAGAATTTAATAAGTTCAACATTTTATTCGAGCTGACGAAACTGTTTCTTCCAACACAATTATAACTAATATTCGTGAATCTAGCAGTAAATTAGTTGTTACTCTACAGTTTCTTTTCATTTGTATTGTATTAATTTATCGTAGTATAATTGCTTTCTTAGGAATGATTTTTGCATTTAACGAGCTCAAGACTTTATTTGAAATAACTGTAATTAATAGACTGCGGATCCTTATGCGATATAAAATCTTCGCAAACGTGCCTTATTTTATTCTGCAAATATAATAACATGAACTTTATTTTCAATCTATTTTATATTCTTGCATATTGTTTGGATTTTGTAGTTTCTTGCACATTCAAATTTCCTATAAATGCATAAAGATCCGCAATCTAATAATTAATATTCATAATTATAATTAACTTCCATTTGTGTCTTGTATCTTATTAAATCCATGCTTCTCTCACTTTGTGATGTATCGTAATTAGAAAAAATTGAATCTCCCTAACCGTAACTAATATTTGTGAATGTTGGGAGTAAATTAGTTGCTAACTTTCATTTCGTCTCTGGTATCTTATTAAATACACACTTCTCTCGCTGTATCTATGATGTATCGTAATTAAAAAAAAAAAATTGAATCTCAATGGTTTAATGATCTCTAATAATTCTTCTATAAACAGGTCCACTGGCTGCTTGAAAATTACGAAACAGCAGACGGTGTCTCCCTTCCAAGATCAACTCTCTACAACCATTACTTACGTCATTGTTCTGAGAATAAATTGGATCCTGTAAACGCAGCGAGTTTTGGAAAATTAATACGTTCCGTCTTCTTGGGTTTGAGGACTAGACGCTTAGGCACAAGGTAATCAACCTTACACCTCTATTCTAAACATAACCAACACATTGGGTGCCAAGCTAAACATCGTGAAAATTGTTATAAAGTTAACATTTTGTCTCGAGACTATTGGAAATTAGATAATTTAACATCTGTCGTAATATTTATTTTTTTAACGTCATCAATTTCACGAATCCTGTCCAGAATTATTTTCATTATTGTCTCACCTTTGAAATTAATTTTTTTAGTTCCTTAATAAAGAGTCCTGTTACGCATTTCTGGATGTCGTGGCTACCAACGTGTTACTATCTTAGAATGTCCGTGTACATCACCACAATATCTATAATATTTTATCATTTCTTTTTCTTTCAGAGGAAATTCCAAGTATCACTACTATGGTATTCGCGTGAAACCCAGCTCGCCTTTAGTAATGCTAAACGAGGATGGAACGCCTCGTCAGCAGCAAAGTGCAAACTCCCAAACGAAACGATTCAAGTTTGTGAATCAAAAGCAAGACACCACGTACGAAAACAACACCCATTCGAATACAAATATATCTTCGAACACTTCACCGCCGCAGTATCATCAATACCTCGGTGAAGCAAGCGGAGCCATTCCTGAATTCCCTGAGATAATAGTCGGGCACGGCTCGTCCCTCCCCGAAGATTGCACATTGGAAGATATCGACACGTTCCGTAGCATATACAGAGAACACTGCGAAGCTTTCCTCGATGCTGTCCTAAATTTCGAATTCGCTACCGTTGAGAGCCTCTGGAGGGAATTTTGGCGCAGCCAGGACAATAATAACGGCGACGAGTGCGAGGAAGAAAAATATTTATCCAAGTAAGCGAAGATTCTATCGTATCTTTCAAACATTCAATCTGTCGAGTAAACAATTCTAATTCTAACTATAGCACGTTCAGAATCAAACTGTGTCGGATGTCTAATCCTAATTCTAACTATTCCATGTCCAGAACCAAATTGTATCAGATGTGCAAGTGCTCCGAAGTCCAAGATTTCATTAGGAAGGTGGACTATACATTTTACCAAAACTTGGTGGAAGTACTAATGCCTAATGTACTGAGACCCATACCAAGTGAGTTGCATCGACTCTTTTTTGAAGAATATTTGAAGATATTTGACTCTAATTATTGAATTAATTATAATGTATCTTCAGGTTCACTGACGCAGTCCATCAGAAACTTTGCGAAAGGATTGGAGTCATGGCTAACATCAGCAATGGCTGACTGTCCAGAGGAAATGACTCAGATAAAGGTACTGCAAACAGATATATGATATATTGGGTTGTCCGGAAAGTCCATGTCTGAATACATCGAAGTAGTTGAAAACAAATAACATGCATACATCCCTTAAAAGGTGGAAAGGTTGTCGAACACAATGGCACCTATGTAATTCAATAAATATATATTAAAATTCAATTTGAATGTTTGAATGTTTTTTAAAAATTGCCACGAATTTTCTGGACAACCTGATATTATACACACCTCTGCGATCTGTCCCTGTCAATAAAATTTATTTCAGTTAACCGCTGTATCTGCGTTTGCCCAGACACTAAGGCGTTACACGTCCCTGAATCACCTCGCTCAAGCAGCTCGCGCGGTTCTACAAAATTCTAGTCAAATAAATCAAATGCTGGCCGACTTGAATCGCGTCGACTTCCACAATGTTCAAGAACAGGTATCTGCACCGTTTAAGAACCAGATTATACTTCCGTGCCTTTCGAATAAAATCAAGTAAAAATCACGTCGTTTTCAGGCTTCTTGGGTGTGTCAATGCGACTACACGATGGTGCAACGGCTGGAAGCGGATTTCAAAGTGACTCTACAGCAGCAAAATTCTTTGGAGGATTGGGCGATCTGGCTGAAAAGCGTCGTGACGCAGGTCCTTAAACCGTTCGAAGAAAAACCTACGTTTGCAAAGGCTGCCCGGCAATTTTTGCTCAAGTGGTCTTTCTACAGGTGACGATCCCGAACCTGCTAAATAATTGATCTTTTATTAATTCAGAATTTCATTCGTCTCGTTCGACAGTTCCATGGTGATTCGCGACCTCACCCTAAGAAGCGCAGCCAGCTTCGGATCGTTTCATCTTATTCGATTGTTGTACGACGAATACATGTTCTACTTGATCGAGCATCAAGTGGCTGTCGCCACGGGAACGACTCCTATAGCTGTAATGGGAGATGTGCGTATCTCTATCCTCATCGCAAGCTAAGAATTCTGTAATAATAACAATTCTGTAATTCATAGTTATGTTTTCTTCCAGAAAAGTCAAAACTGCTCGTTGGTCAGCGCGTTCGGCGCAACATCCAACGGAGGTGAATCACTTTTCGTTCATATTCCCTAGAAACGTTCGTCGATCCACGAAAAACAAACGTATCTTAGAGAGTGTTTTCTTTCTTTTAGATGCATCAAACACGAGTCAATCAAAGCGTATGAAGCTAAGCTAACTGCGTGCCTACGCCCTTTAGTTTCGCGAGTAAGTCGTTAGCACCTGAGAACGGAACGTTAGCACAAGAGCATGGCAGGCCTACTAACACGCTAGTCCCATAAATTATAATTTTTCTATGAGACGAGAACCTCGTACTACGACTCCGGAAAGAGGATTTTTGCATAACGCCCAGGATGTATACAATCTAAGTAAGTTTTGTGTGATATAAACGCGTAGGAATACGTAACCGGAGCCTTGCTTCGCGCGAGCAAGCGCAAGGTATCGCTGGCACGATGTTTAGTACGTTAATGTATCATCTAGTCGAGACGTCATTGAGAAAATATACGGGACCATGAATTTCTCATGCCCTTATAGCATCGATATCAAAAGGTTTACTCGATCGAATCTCTTGTTTCCTTGAATTTTTACTGTTGGAAGAATTCGATGCCTTACGTCGACGCTTTGCACTCAAAGAGCCTCGCGGTTCTATTATCGCGCAACAAATGAAATAATTCAGCGACCATTTTACGGAATGACTTTATTATTTCGTTATTTTATTCGATGGAATTAACTCGGCGTCGCTGAAGTGCAAAGAGTCAACGAGTTATTGATTTGTTAACAGACCATCCAAATTCATGTTATGTTTCGTGTTTTCTTCTTTTTTTAAACGTTTAATACGCTGTAGAGTCGAGTGAGCTTAAAATAGCGAACGTCAGTTTGTGCAAAAGAAAAACTATTCATATCGACGGATTCTATTTTGCACAATTGCTCGTCAACATTTTACTAAATCCGCCCTGACGACGGTATTGTCAAAACGTAAAATAAAACTATTCCTACCAGATGCAGATTAGATAAATATAACCGTACGAGTTTTTAGATAATCTCCAACGTTCATATTTTTTAACGTGATTTATTCATTATACATCGAGCTGCGTAACGAGTTCTGTTCTAAGCCGTCTGTTACACTCCATATATATTAGACTTCGGTCGTTATTTTGATGATTTCTGATGTCGTAACGCACCACCTAAATACCTTACATCTACATAAAAAAATATTCCTGTTTTAATTTTAAATAATGGAAAATACATTATTTTCAATCGGTTAATTTCTTTTTTTTATATCTCCCGTAAAAATTGACGGAACAATTTGAAACTTGGCAGAGTTGTTATTTGTAATAATAGGAAGAAGCCTTAAAAATTTCAAATTTTTATCTCAATTATATCCTTATATATCAGGTAAGTAAATACGAAGCTACTTTCTCTACTTGAAATATTTTTGTAACATTATTTTAAATGTTTTAAATATGGATTTATTTATTATTTTTTTTTTTTTTTTATAAATGTTCCATAAACAAAAATTCTATTTCAGGTAATTCAAAAATTTAGTATGTCAAAGTTCTTCTTTCGATAACAATTTATATTTAGAACATTTGAGATAGTGTTGGTTGATATATAGTATTATTAATAATCTTAATATGTATATTAAGATTAAAATTCGAAATTTTTTGGACTTCTTCCTATTATTATAAGTAGGCTGCGGATTTTTATGCATTTATAGGGAATTTGAATGTGCAAGAAACTACAAAATGCACACGGTATGCAAAAATATAAAAAATATTGAGAGTAAAATAAATTTCTATTTAGGTTCACTACTAATTATAAGTAATAACTCTGTCAAATTTCAAATCACTCTGTCAATTTTTACCACAGTTATAACAAAAAACAGTAACCGTTTGAAAAGTTCCATGTATTTCTCATTTAAACTTTCCGAAGGTCTGGGCCAAGCGTTGATACTAAAATTAAAACCTCAAACTTTACTGGAATATATTTTCATGTATTCGCAAGGTATTCAGGTATTAAACATAGATTTCAGAAATCATTTAAGTAAGGACCAATCTATTATATATATATTCTTTCAGTATTTTTAAACGAATAGTACAAAACAACAGTGGAGATGGGTGTAACGATATATAAAATAATCGTTTTGATTTACTGATAGAATATATGGTTCTCGCATTAAATGTACATACATATACAAACAATGTGGCAGATAGAAACAAGTGCACAGTTGTTAAAGTTTAAAAGAAACAAACAAACAAACAAAAAAAAAAGGTAACAGTAGAAGCTGTGAGTGTCTTCAAACATGCTTCGCATTTAAATAATTTTAATATATCTACTATAAAAGAAAAAAAAATCAAGTGTGTGTCGATATATGGTTTATATTTGTAGACACTCGAGTAACTCTTCTGTGTAACAAAGTACTAGGATTTAAGTGTGCATCGTGGAATTTCACGTCACATTTCTTTTGTTATATACATGTATATACATACATTATTTTGAAAATGTACGAGCTGTTTCGAATGTTGAAAACGTACATACTTATTTTTTTTTTTTTCTTTTTTTGTTTTATGTACAGCGAATGGTACTGTTCTTGTGTATGTTAATTTATTATTACGATTAAACTGAATTATTTGTATATATTTAACAGCAACTTCTTAAACAAAATCGAACGGAGATTTTATAAGACGCTGGCTGAATCGATAGACGAATTTAAGTTTTATTTATGTGACACCAAAAGACTTCTAATTATTCTAGCTTAATGTTTCTTTCCATTAGCATTTTAGAGAGGGGAATAGAATCTGTTGCTAACCGCAAGTTCATTAAAACTTTGTATTCATTTCTCATTTCCACATTTGTTCTCTATATTTTCAATATGTATACATACATATATATAGATTTATATTTTGTGTACTCGTATTCATGTAATTGATTTATATGATTGTATCTCATTGAATAAGTACAAAGTTTCAATGAAATTGATACATGCCGCTTTATATATTTTTCCAGTAACTTAATTATTATGGTTATCGATGTCGAAATGCTTGTTAAAGTAATACTTTCAATCGATAAAGGATTCATCTGGAAACTTGCACTTAAGTGATCTTACGTAACGTTTAGTGTTTCTCCAAAATACAGTGTACACATAATGTTAATTATTCGAAGACGAATACATCAAAAGACTATTGTTTGGAATTGCCAAGGATCATTCATGATTCTATCGTCTGGGGACTTGCGCTCAATTGATCTTACATAACGTTTAGAGTTTCTCCAAAATACATTGTACACATAATGTTAATTATTCGACGACGAGTACATCGAGATACTATTATTTGAAATCGTCAAGGATCATGTTCCAATTGTATTTATTATTGTAAAAGCACTGCTGTATAGACCATTTGCCAAGCTTTACACGTGTACCATCGTTAAAAAGAATTATGCGACACTTAATAAATGAGATCGGTACGAGCTGCTTGGTTTCACGAAGAAAATTGTAAAACGACACATATTGATGCAGAAACGATGAACTCCGCTGTAAAACGCTACGATCGACAGTTAATCGAAAGATGCAAACTCCTATGAACAAACTAGATGTTTGGCAAAACTTGGTGCCTTTTATTTCATACAAGAAAGAAAAAAAAGAAAACAAACAATTTTTTTACCGTACCTTAATTGTATACAATCGATAAGAAGCTTCCGAGGCCAAACGACCAAAGTAAATGAAACAAACGAATGTAAAACTTGCGCTCTTCCTTTAGGGCTTCTCTGCAGAGCTGCTTCAATTTTTTATGGTATTTTGCGCTTGAAGTAAAATGAAAGAGAAACAATGTAACAGAGAAACTAAATTCCGGAGGAAAGTTTGGAAGAAAAAATTGTACGTACATCGCTTCTTTTTTTCTATTTAATCGAGCCTTTGCGGCTGAAGATATTCTTCCAAACCGATTTGCTTTATCGAAGGTCGTAATAAAGGGTACTAAACGCTGGTCAAATTGATTGCATTGCGACGCAAGGGAATAGATTTAACGGATATAGAATATATATGTTTATTTATTGTAAAGAAAATATTGCGTGCTAGTCAGAACTTTATAGTTTTAAGTCGAAGAAACAGGGATTGAGTATCACACAGTACATCGACCACTGGTTGCGCGTGTATTATTTGTGCAAGCAGAAAGGATAGAATATTTCCATAACTATAATGAGCTTATATGTATAAAACAAAAAAAAAAACCAACTATCGATACGTATGTGTACTTAGCATAAGAATGGCTTTCTAAGGGATTTCAATGTTTTCTTTTCCTGTCGAGGAGAATACATGCACTGTTGATAAGTACAGCCGAATATAGAATTGTGTAACGATAACAACCGACGTTAAGAACAAGATGTTTTAAAATAAACAAGTAAAAATGATAAAGAACTATTATCAGAAATGAAAGAAGTCTACCGTGATACGCAATTCTATATTCCAAGATACTCGTTTGTACTTTAGGATCGCTGTTTGTAAGTTTCACGATTATCACCAAGGTGCGAGCAATTGTAGTCTTGTTGTTGACAAATGAAAGATCAAACATACCACGGTTTCCTATGTTGCGGAATAAGACGGCCTTAAATATTTCCACTTGTAAGACAGAAAGGAAAGATTTACTATGTTAAGAGTGGACGTTTATAATGCGAACAACAAATGATTAAAAAAAAAAACGAGAGAGAGAGAGAGAGAAAAGGGAAAATTAAAAGACTATCGAATGAGAAAAAGAAGGGAAAAAGTATCGTTTTTTCTTATGACGTATAGAAGATATTTTGATACCTCCGGATTTGCACAAATCGAGTGTCATTCATTACTGCTTAAATGAAATTATTTTTACTGAATGCAGCTCAAAACGATAACAACTTATATAAAAGTTATGCGAGGTATAAGATGCTGTAAGAACTGTGTGAATGTGCGGATCACAAAAAAAATAAAAATAAAAGTAAAATAAATAATATATGTTTAAAACTTGTAAATCTGTGTTGTACGATTTCGTTGCTTTGCAAGCGTTGCGTAATCTTAAGTAATCTTAAAGTAATCTTTAGTAGTACTTTAAGTAAATACTTTAAGTAATCTTAAAGAAGAAAGTTAATATTATAATTGATAGATGAAATTTTTCAATGTTAGACCGTTTGGAAAGGGAAAAACAATTGCGAAAATGTATTTTCGTATTAGGGCAGGCTTTGAGCGAATCAATTATGTCGGTATAGTGGTAATTTATCGTTGTTTTGTCAAGTAAAATTGAAAGTTAATTAACTGATCAATTCCGCTGAATTGCGCTCAATTGATTTTGGCGCTCACGGAGCATTCAAAGATGGCTGCCACTCGCGCATGCGCATCGTTGAAAGCTGAACAGCACTATAGCTGTAGAAATTCAAATATAGATACGATAAAAGCTTTCAGTTTCAGTTTCAATAACGGTTTTTTTATTATAGTGCGCGATAGAAGCCATATAAATTATTTTATACTTCTATCATTGTTCGGGGCGACTAAAGCGCCAGTAATGCTCATACTAGGTACATTACTGACGCTAAGAGCAGTGCGCATGCGCGAGCGCCATCTTAGTTCGCGACATAACAATGTTTATAGATGCCACTGCAGCAAAACATGTCTCTATTTATCGATTTATCGTATAATAAGATAGAAATTTCAGCTTATTTTATAACGAGATAGTAGTAACGATCCACGAATTTCGTCTCGAAGTATTACGGCAATCAGTAACATATTTATTTAAACAATTGACAACGTCCAGTTGGGCTACTATAGATTGCCAGTGGCTGGTAACCATGGAAACGCAGTAACAGCGTAACCAAGTAACTCGGCGCATGCACAGCGATACCCGTAATGGCCGCCACTCGCGCATGCGCTCCGTTTCCAGCGCCACTGACGTATCTAGCGCGAGCAGAAAATGGCGCCGTTAGGGCCCCCGATGGTACAAGTATAAACCGATTGAAATCACGCTTTATTTCCTATAGCTACGCTACTGGCGTCCTTGCTGGTGATAATGGAAAGGATGCGGACGCCATCCAGCGGGCTGGGGGGGGGGGAAAGAGGGTGAAATACAAACGAAGCTAAAAAAAGCCAGTTTGGCGGCTGATCATGACTGATCATCAGTCAGATTGAGTCATTATTGTAAATAGCGTGGCCGATTATTTTGTGTACAGAGTGTTAATTGTTTGAACGTATGACGCAATAATGTGGGAGAATTAACAATTATTGTTGCATTTATTTATACACTGTTACTGCGCTCAATTTTTCCACTCGGACATCCAAGGTTGTCTTCCTGAAGGTCGACGCGTCCCTCCAAAAATATTAGCGAATCTTCGTTTTATCTGTGAAAAACGTCACAGCGAAAAGAGGTTAGAGATCAAGAATCATCTTACTAGCTGATACACCGATAGCCACTGACACAGATCTTTTCATTCTATTTATTCTCACTTTTGATAAAACATTGCTCCGATAGAATATATATATTAACTCTTGACTGCGAACAATACTTCCTTTTAGTTTCTAATATCAATCCTTGCTGTCTAAGCTACAGCTACATGTCTCCAAATATAAACAGTTTAAATCGATACAATTTTTAATTCAAAGTGAGAATATATCCTTATCTCCTATTTAGAATACAACCAGTATGTACCAATAGCCTCGATTAAATACTGAATCTCGTAACCTTTCCGCAGGGAATCTCATTGGTCAACGAGCATTATTGACACCAATTTCGAATACAGGTCATGATAGCAGTTTGAAGTTCCAGGGATCAAAGAGCCATTACACATTTATATACTCGATTACGCTCAGCAAACGACAAAATGGCATCTTTTCGGACAATCAAGGGTAAATAAGCAACATCTTAACTATTCTTCTCTTTGCAATTTCTAACATAGGGTACTCATTAACTATCGCGCTCTTAAAAGAAATAGCATACTCTCTAAATATTCGTAAGCGCATTGATTGCGGGATTAGAAGTGGAAGCCAGAGGAAAATTTATATACAAGGCGGTTTACAAATGATAATACAATTTATAATGAAAAGCAAAGTGGATTCTGGATAATAATATGCGATAAATTGTCTTAAAATGCTTATATTGGTCTCCTCTTTCGTCACCTGAACTTATACTTGGTACTTCTGTATTCCATATAGAAAATAAATCTGAAACAGTACGTACGTATGTATATTTGTGTGTATATTTCAGAGAGAATACCTAGGAGAGGAGTTTTAGGAGCAATGATGTTTTTAGCTTGTATGTTTTCGTACATGATTCGGACAAATTTGTCCATTACCATTGTCGCTATGGTAAATGCGACTAGTAAAGACGGAGGAACTGGTCCGGCGTGTAGCGTTGTACCCTTAAATAGTACAGAAAACAGAACTACAGTCGTTAACGATGTGAGCTTTTTTTTTTGGAGTCATTTTCTATTTTTAAGGAGGAAAAATCTCGATATTAATCTAACTGTATCTCGATGAATAAGTATTATTAAACTATTTTGATTTATAATAAATTAAATTTAGAAGACACTCAATGACACAGAAAAGAATCATACGTTACATAAATTACATCATACTTGCACACATCGTTGGAGTAATATTTCATGCAATCTGTTATATCTCTACTTTTTAGTACGGCGAAAGGTACGAATGGAACCAACATGTTCAAGGGCTGTTGCTTTCTGCCTATTTTTATGGGACTCTTCCAGCAAGTGTGCCCGCTGGACTCCTGGCTGAGAAATATGGGGGTTCCACGGTTGTAGCGTAAGTTCATTGGATACAATACACAACGATACAATTACAGTATTGCTGTTTTCCATTAAATTCCGTATATTCGGAGTCACATGTATTCTAACTACCTCTTGAACTATGCTAATGTAGATTTGCAACACTAGTACCTGCAGCATTAAATATTTTGATGCCTTGGGCAGCTCATCTTCATTACGGTGTGGTATTTCTATTGCGTTTTCTGATGGGTTTCTTTGGTGTAAGTCTAGGAGATTGTTTTTTAATTATCGTACTTTTTGATAAACTTAATTTTCGTATTCTTGTATCTCAGTTTAACAAAACGTTAGAGGTGTAATTGTACCGCTTTAAATTGAAAAAAGACTGGTAACAATTTATTTAACTTTGATTTACATCGCTCTCATTATCAGAGACTAATTTATAAAAGAGAATTTGTATACTTAGTACTGTTATATTATTATTATTATTATTCGTGTCATTGGATTTTATTGAAAAGTAATTAAGTTTCTTGTTGTTCGCGTTTATTAAAAGAAATCCTATTTTTAGGCAGCAGTTTATCCTGCTCTTCATGCAATGATTGCTAGGTGGGTGCCTCCTAGCGAGAAGGGAATGTTCGTATGGACCATGCAAGGTATTTAAAAGAATGTTCCCTAGACAATATCAAACTGTATAATAACGAAACATTGTTATTTCTAGGTGGACCTTTTGGCACGGTGGTAACATTTGCTCTCTGCGGTCAAATAATCAGTGCTTACGGTTGGTCAACTGCTTACTATGTTACAAGTGGGCTCATACTGATCTTCTACGTCTTGTGGATATATCTCATATACGATACACCTGACAATCACCCAGGAATTACAGAAAGAGAAAAGACTTATATTAAAGAACAGATAGGCACAACAGTTTCTAAACAGAAGGTAAAAGCTTTAAAATCATCGATTAGATTAGATTTATAATTAGATTTATAAAAGTATCGGTTTCTTAAACAGTGCTCCAATTCTAGGTGAAACTCCCAGTGAAAGATGTCGTTACTTCCGTACCGTTCTTAGCTTTGCTATGGGCCCACTTCGCCAACATGTGGGGCATTTATTTCATAGCTACGAATGGACCAAAATACACTTTGGAAGTTCTTGGTTTCAACATGAAATCTGTAATTGTTTAGTTACTGTATTTTATTAAGTATTTTCCTGTTATTAAGTATTTTCTAACATTTACTGAATCGCAGGGAGGATTTATCACAGGACTACCTTACATAGCTAGACTGGGCGCTGGGGTAGTGTTCGCTGCAGCTGGGGATTATGTTAGAAGGAAGAATATTCTGACACTGGGTTGGATTAGAAAGATATTCATGCTCTTCTGTTAGTAAACGACTCAGAAACTAGAGAAACAGCCTTTCTACCTAATTCTTCACTAATAAATACAAATAATAATTTGATATACCCAACAGCACACATCGGTCCAGCAGTTGCATTAATCATAATGACCTATGCTGGCTGTGACGCAACAGTTGCAATGGTGATGTTGATAGTGGCATTAACTTTCAATGGAGCTGCATGTCAGACCAGTTTACAGAACCACCAAGATCTCGCTCCGAACTACGCTGGTTCTCTGTATGGGATCATGAATACTTTTGGCAGCTTTCCTGGCTTCATTATTCCGCCAATCATCGGCGCTCTAACAAACGAGAGAGTATGTATCAGATTTAATCGGCAATTTGTTAACTTGAAAGACGAAAAATTTAAATTTATTATTATTCTTGCAGAATGGAATAGAAGAGTGGCGTATCATGTTTTGGATCTCTGCAGCAGTATTCATATCTGCAACGGTACTGTTTTGGCTGTTTGGTTCTGCCGAGATTCAACCATGGAACGATTTGAATCAACAGAAAGTATCGCAGGTTCCTGAAGAGGAGGAACAGATGACAGAGATACCTGCGAAAGAATTGCAGGTAGAGGAAGAAGAAGAAAACGAACGTCTATAAATATACTTAATTTAACGATCTATAATTGAAGAATATCAAATTCTGCTAAGAATTATTATTAAGAACTGCATTTTCTTTTTCTTTTTTTTTTACATTATTGACAAAGTTTTCTACTCGCATTTTGCAACATGGAGTACATTAATACAGCTCAATGTATCAAATTGGATACGGAACTATCGTGAAAGATAGTTGTGTATAAATTTTGTTTACGGTCCACTCGTAAGGGCACAAATTTTTCATGGGACATACTTGCAAAATTATACATTTGTAAAACGGCTATACAGATTTAATACTCATATATCTGTTCGTTTCTTTGATAAGATAAACGTTTTGAAAACCTGATTGATTGTTTTCTTTATAGCTTATTGTTTATGAATACATTTCATGCATACATTTCATGGATACATTTAAGTAATTCCCAGAGGAAAATTAAATTCTAAAGTTATACATGTGCACGTACGATTGCTGTGATTTAAGAACGAATATTTATTCTTGAGAATCGGAATTTTGCAAGAGACATATAGGAATAATTTTAAAACCGCGCGATTTCGCAGCTTTGCGTTTGATGCAAGTGCGCGTAGCGCGTAAACGCAATTTCGAGCAAGCTTCGAAATTTTGCGTGTAGAACGTGTCTTGTGTACTCGTTTTGCCAGCACTGCTACTCTTATTTAAACAGGTTGACTTCTCGCATGTATCTACGTTTTGCATAGATACACAACTCTTTTTCAAGCTGTGTTGAGAAGTGACCAGGCAGTTCTCTCGGCTGCAAAATGTATTCTTTAATATTTCCAAAGCATTCGCTGCCTGGGAAGTCAAGACTTCGCAGTAAGAATCTTGGCCTGATTTTAAGCTCGACTTGTCCGATGAAGCTGTAGTTTCATTTGTATTGCTCAAGGATTCTGTAAATGATTATATTTGTTACGTATTGTTAGGATGGAACAGATATGATTAGAATGCGGATGTTTATGCAAATTATTTTTACAGATACAAAAAAAGAATCGAAATTTAAATGAAAGTATATCTTATATTCTAAAGGGTATAACGTATATATTCTTGATATAGGTTCTCCCATAGTTTCATTTGCCATAAATGCATAAGCATCCGCAGTCTAGATATGATAAATTAAAGTATCACCCTTCATCGAACATGGTTTCATCAAGGTAGCATCAATGACACAGGACCATTCATTAACAGACTCTAGAAAATGACAATCACTTTACACATTTTACTAATTCTGTAATTCTCCAATTATATTTACTTTGCGATCCAATCTCAGGTTGCAAGAATATACTAATCGTTCCCTCTGATTCTTTAGTAGAATGCTTCGAAACGGCTACACGAGGTGAAGGTGGATAGATTACATTTGTTTGGGTCTGAATAGTCGTTTCTTTCTCAGAAGCTGTAGTCATAACATAGCAGGGTTTGTATGCCAGTAGTATGTCCTTCGTACGAAGCATAGTAACTTCTGGATTCTTCTCTTTGTAATCCCCTGTACACCATTTGCAGGTTGATGGTCTTCTACAGACGGAACACACAACATCCCTCTCGTCCTTGATTCTTCTTACCTCAACAATTCCAGCTATATTTGTCTGGGTATACATTGCTTCTGTCTTTGTGTGCAACATCGAATCGAGGATCTTCTTTCTTCTTTGCTCCAATATTTGAGATATTTGCGTGGCTGTATAACAAAAAATGAAACTATGAAACATCGTAGAATATTCATTGTTACATTCAATTTATCAAAGGAGATTGTACTAACGCTGTGACTCCTGTTCAAGTTCCATAAGTTTCCCAACTATAGTCATCGTTCGCTTAAGAGTCTTTTCTAAAATATTTTTTACTATCGCAGGAGCATTTCTGGATACAGTATCAGAAGTCCTTTGCAATAAATTGTCTATTAAGGGTGCTACTACAACAGATGCCTCCAGAGGATCAACAACAATGTCGACTCTCAGTTTGCGTAGTATATCTTCCTCTTTTTCTCTGTGACGTGGGTACGTAACTATAGTCTGTGTACTCTGATCCACCATGGGATACCTGATCCTATCTGCACACTGATCAATAATGTCTTCCATCACGTAATTTATCGCAATTCTACTTCCTATTCCTTTCGAAAGGCAATCTTCCAAGATGCTTGAAACTATATTCTTCGTCTCCCAATAATTCGATAGGAGTGTTGTATTGGATTTTTTTGGCTCGCAGGTCAAGGCGGTTTGCGTCTCGCGGTCCACCACAAGAGTATTCGTGTGACAATTAAACTTGATACAGGTCTGGACCTCTTTTTCCTGTAACTCTGTTTGTATTTTACTCGGATCGATTATCCAAAGTGCACGTGCTATTAGAAAGTTCAAAATTTCTGAAGTTTCTATTTCTGCTTGTTCTTTGCTTGTTAATTCTGATACGAATTCTTCGAGATCGTTCTCTGGTATATTTGTGGACAGTTCGATAGATACAGCATTTTCCGGTGCATTAGGATGGAAAGTGACGATAGTCGCTGTCGCCATGCTCTTCTTTAACGTAGGCATCGAGCTTTCGTGCATGGATGCTGAATATAAATGGTACACGTCAGAACTTAGAACAAGACAATGTACAATGCTACGTACTCATTATATCCTTGTAATACGTTAAAGGCAAGCACGGAGGCCTCATGTACATTGTTTGGGAGGCCTCGTCTCGATATTCAAGGGAAATTTGAACGATTGGTGTTCCTTGTAGGTACGTCTGATTCTCTGCATCCTGCATAGGTCTTCTTAACGACTCTTCTGGTGCTTCTACATCCGACTCTGAGGGTACTTGGTCCAATTCGTTAGAGTCTATAAACTGCCTGTGAGTGAACGATCGTCTGTATACAATTTTGTCGTCCAAACTTAGTGGTACGTCTGGTGTCGAAGACAAGACCGTTGTATCTGAAATTTCTCTAAGCGTTGCGTCTTCCTCTGGAGTTACTGTAATTAGAGTTTGAGCCCATACTTCATCTTCGGTCGCCATCTAAGGTAAGGAAGATATAAATGAAACGAGGAGTGATATAAATGAATCAGATATCGATTTTCTTTATTTGGGTTGTTAGGTACCTTCGCAGTAAATTAATTATCTTTTTATGCGTGTTCTAAAGAATATCGTTTCAAGAGTTCATTATGTAATGTTTACGATCGTTGAATATTAAATTTGGAGTATTGTTTTGGTGTCGATTTCTACTTGAACGTAATTTCGTATCAATGAACATGAAATTTTTAATATTCTGTAATGTTTAAACATTCCATGGTCGTTTTTCGACAATTAGGAGAAATATTCATACATTTTGCAATGAAAATTTGACGCGTTTAGAGGTTATGTTTATGTTATTATGAAAATAGTTCACGATGTCGCCGCTAGATGGCGCCACTACGTAAAAATGGGGGGGCACCCGCGGAAGCGTATGAGCCTATGCTACTGCGGATACTCTATCGGCGTACTCGCGCTCTGATTGGTCGCGGAGCGCGGCCGCCTCGAGCTCTGATTGGTCGAGAAGTTCGGCCGCCTCGCGCTCTGATTGATCGAAGCTTTCTGTTAATATCTCCATAACAAACCTTCGGACAACATTTTTGCTAAGGAAAAAGTTGTTTCAAATCACCCCCCGTACTCCCCCATTCAAGAACTTCCAACATTTTGAGACACCCTGTATATTTGTAAAATTATGACGGGGTAATTAAGATACCCTTTTTTAGTCTCGCGTATACTTCATTGATGCCATGTTCGCCGCGCATGCGCGAATATGGAGCAGCAGTAGCTCACTTAAGCCCCTCTGAGCCCCTCGCCATCCGAAATTTTGTCAAAGCTTACAAATCTTGATATCAACAATGTAACAAAATAAAAATCTCGATAATTTATGTTATTAATCTAATAACACTGTAAATAACAATAATAACTAAGTATTTACAACGTAAATATAAATTCATTCGAGTGAGCACTCACTGAGCCCTAGTGACACCTAGTGAGCGGTTACTGGTCAGCCATGCTTGTCACCAATATGTCTGCCTCCAACAACACTCCAACCGATATTTTCTCTCGAATATTGCACGCATTCCCTATTCTAAACGAAAAGGTTTGTTGAATACGAATTAATATCCACTCTCGCAACCATTACGTGTATCTTCTCACAAAAATTTATCCATTTCTCAAAGTCGTATGTATACCATAACCTCTACTGCTGTAGTTGAGTACATCAGGAGAATGTACGATACAAAACGAATGCACAGACGAAGAATTCACGGAGATAATCAACGAGGCGAAGGCGTTAAACCTGACGCATTTAATCAAACGAATGGTTATTTTTCACGTAGAAAAACACATTCGTACAAATGTGGCTCCTGTGTTTTGGAAGAAATTTATGGGTACCGTTGATGGACAACAAGGCTTTGATAATTTCAAATGTGCAGTGGATGGACTCTATATCCACGTAACTGAATTTTTACCGGTATTGAAGAAATTGGAGTATCTCACGCAACAGGAGACTTCTATGCCGATCGGAAACGATGTACTTGGTCAGTTCAAGCTGATTGTACGCTCTACGTTGTTAAGTCAACTGCCGCTTCATTACGAACACATTGTAAAGCAATTCTATAAAATTGCGTTCAATGTATTTTGTTGTACAGACAATTCCATGCACGGTAACTGATATCCGAGTTTAATTCTTACATGAAATTGTTTTTCTGTTCGTGCAGTTTTTATTAATACGATGCATCTGTTACGTAGGAACTACGACTAGCGATTCTACTCAGTGCATAGGTTGCCACCAGGAGATAGAAAAATGTTGCTGTCAAATGATAGTGATCATGTTTCACGAAACGAACAGGAAACTGATTGAATTGGAGCTATTGGAAAGACTAGTGGGTAACGTTCTTACATCACTGATCCACGTACATATAAAGAACCACGTGAATCAATCCTGCGATAAAACGTTCGATGTATCGCAGTTAGAATCGCTAGAAAATGTAAGATTCTCATAATTTGTAGATTGTATTTGCATTAACTTCAAGCGAAAGATATTAATTATAATATTTGATCTTACAGTGGCTCGAAACAGTTGTCATGAGTTGGTTATTAAGAGTATACTCCGGTGGCTTTTCGAAGACTGTGTCCCTAAGCGATGAAACTCGTAACACTATAGACAAATTCAAACAAAAATTGACCTATTTTTTGTATGAGACGTACACAAGATTCAGAATCGAACAACTCTTCGATATCATAATAGGTATTTCTTTACGTTAAAGTTTACTTATTATTGTTGCATATTTATTACGCCGTGTATAATAATTTGTCTTATGTTAAGAGTATCCTGATTCTCAGCCAGCGATAGACGATCTGCATATCTGTCTGCAACGAACGGACTTACGAAAGGTTTTGGTAGAGAGCCTGCAGGAAGCATTGAAAACAAGATTGTTGCATCCAGGTGTGAACACATCGGATATACTGACAGCTTACATCGCAGCCATAAGAGCATTAAGGCAATTGGATCCTACGGGAGTCCTTCTCGAAACCATAACAGAACCCATCAAGTAATTATCAGTTTATACGTTACAATGATATTAAACTCTCGTTAAATTTATTTACAATTGATACGTGAATTCCATTTTATCCAGAGTTTACTTGAGGACTAGAGAAGACACAGTGCGCTGCGTTGTGAGTGATCTACTCGATGATTCCCCCAGCGATCTGGCAGATGAGTTAGTCAAAGGCGAATCTCTCCAATTGGATGATTGTTCTGGCGACGAAGAAAATGAGAATTGGGACAAGTGGATGCCTGATCCTGTCGATGCTGATCCTGGTATGTATAGATATGAAAAGATTATGTATTACATATTGTATGCGATACGAATTTGTTCCTTTTCTTCAGCGAAATCAGCGCAGCGTAGAATGTCAGATATAATCTCGATGTTGGTGAATATATATGGAAGCCAGGACTTATTTGTAAACGAATATCGAACCTTATTGGCTGATAGATTACTATCTCAATTAAATTATCATACAGAAAGGGAAATTCGCTACTTGGAGTTATTGAAAAGGCGTTTCGGAGAGAATCAGCTTCACTACTGCGAAGTCATGCTGAAAGATGTGTACGATTCTAAGAGAATAGATGGATATATACAATCGGACACTAATTATAGTCTGAAGAAGGAGCAATTCCCTACGTCTGCTTTGATTCTGTCTGCGCAATTTTGGCCTCCGTTCAAGGAAAACTGGAAGCTGGAGTTACCCAAGTTTGTGCAGAATCAGTTGCAGAAATATGTGAAAGCGTTTGAAACTTTGAAGGGAAACAGAACGCTTTGTTGGAAACCTCATCTTGGAAATGTTACGCTAGAGATTGAATTGAAGGATAGAAAGTTGGATATAAATGTGACTCCGATACATGCTACTATAATCTTACATTTCCAGGACAAAAGTAAGAAATACAATCCCTAATCGATAATACAAGTTTTAAGTGGTCCATCCCATAACAGTAAACATTTAATTAATCCTCAAATTATTTTTGCAGAAGAATGGACTTTGGAAGAGCTCGCAGAAGTCATGCACGTACCAGCAACCGTGCTCAGGAGAAAGATAACTTTTTGGGTATCGCAAGGTCTTCTGAAAGAAAGCTCCAATGATACTTTCATATTGCAAGAGGAAAGCACAACGAAGAACAGGACTCTGTCAGACATTGTCGAAGAAGAGGAAGTTGAAAGTGCAATGGCCTCTGCGAGTGATCAGAGAGAGGAGGAATTGCAAGTGTTTTGGTCTTACATCGTTGGGATGCTGACCAACTTGGACTCGATGCCTCTGGAAAGGATTCATCAGATGCTGAAAATGTTTGCATCGCAAGGTCCAGGAGCAATGGAATGCGGTCTCCCTGAATTGAGGCAATTTCTTGATAGGAAAGTTAGGGAACATCAACTACTATTCTCAGGTGGCCTATATCGACTACCAAAATCGTGAACTTTTACTTTTTTGATACATTTTTGTGTATGTAAAGTGTTATGTTAAATTTTGTACATTTTTCGTTATTTCTTTTGTGTAAAGCATTATTATTGAATCAAGGATCATAGTGAATAGGTGCTGCTTTTCCAGAAGTATGGCGTTGCTACGTTAATATTATTTATATTTTAGTGTATAATAGGAGAACATTCTCTTTTTAACAAATTAAGAGAAACATAGTACACAATAAAATATAATTTTGTCCGTTTATAAATTTTATTATAGGTAAAATCATATATACTTTAATTTCCTTTAAATACAATATAATACAGCTTGTATGGCATACTTTCTTGAACAAATTCGACCTCGTTCATACTAAAATTCAATCTGTACATGTCCTTATCGGAACTGTTGGCTCGTTGTTAAATATTGACTCTTTCATGCCTACTATTGCCACTAGAAACTATAGTAACCGTAAAATTCTTTTTAAGACATGAAGTTTCATTTTATACATTTTAATACATTTCAATCTTTGATTCCACAAGAATTGGACAAATTTTAAAAGAGCTGAACTCACAGCCATTCGATATTACTATAAGAAACATTTAAAAGTACGAAATGCATAAAAATATATGATAGAAGTATATCATACAGTCCAAAGAAAATTTGGTATCTTGTATCATAGGAAACATTTTTCAGGTACTGGTCGATGTAACAATTTGTTCGCAACTAAATTACTGAAATTTTGATACATTTTACAATTTGAAACCTTACGTCGTAACATTTGTCACTTTCTTCTTTTTGACTTCACATATTTCTGTATATCAAGCTTTGTTAGTCGCCTTAGACAAACTACTGGGTTTCTTGTGTACATCTGTATATCGTACTTGGACAGTCGCTTCAAACGAACTACAGGATTTAAAAGACTACTCCCTTTGTTACCATCTGTACTTATAAATCGATCAACCGAGAATTTATCAACCGGATCAACGTGTTTCTTCGAGACGTTTAATATCGAACTCTGGTTCTTTCTTCTTTTCTTCTGTGAAACATCGAATTGACTAGCATTTATGAAATCCATGTTAAATACATAAAACTGTTTTCTCTTCTGTCTCTTGTAACTTTTATGTCTCTTTTCAAAGTTGCATTTAACAGTTAACGCAGGATGCAGATACTGTTTCGATTTAAATATATTTGTATTACTGTCTTTCATACCAGGAAGATCGATAGGCGACTCTCTATCAGTATACAACTTTTTACATCGACTCAATTTTGTAGAATTATCCAGCAGCGTACAGTCTCCCGAATAATCTTTGCTGCTATTCGGAGGACCTGTACACAGTGAGTTCTGCATACTGCAGAAAATCCTGTTCAACATTTTCGTTGGAGTATCGCTGAGCTGCGTATTGTAGTAATATTTGGAGTTCATTGGTCCATTTGTTTTGTCCACAGAGTCTGATGAGACGATTTCATTGCTATTTATATCTGAATTTGTCTGCATTACATTCGGATGTTCAGTTAGCTCTATTTCATTGCTATTTATGTCTGAATTTGTCTGCATTACGTTCAGAAGTTCAGTTGGCCCCTTGTAATTCATTGGAAGTTTATTTCATTCTTGGATGTAAAATTCTGAAACAAATTTAGACGATTAGAAATGACTGTAGTATAAACTGTTTATATTAAATTTACTATCGGAGCACTTTTGGATGAGTGTGCTCCAAAATGTGTCAGTAGTATATATATAGTGTCCATTATATGTTGTTATAATACTCTAACATTTTGGAATGTTATAAAATGATAGATATATCGTTAGAGCATGGAGTATTTGCATATTGAATGGAAGAATTGAATTAAATCTTGTGGGGAAAAAACGAAAATCACGTTTGGCGGGAAACGTTAATTATCATTTTATTATTTCGTTATAAGTTCGTAAAAGCAGATTATTGTTAAATTTCGTCCTTTTACATTCGTAAAACACTCACCTCCATAAATTCAGTCGAATATGGTCGAATACAAGTTCAGAATTTAAATATATAAAAAGCGGCATTAAGAATCTTCGGACGCCATATTGGATTTTGATACGTCAACAAATAAGCGTACATATAATGAATTTAAAAAACATCTTTGCGAGTTAATACATAACAAAACGTGACATTTTAGATCGTTAACGAACCATAATGTTTCAGTTTGTTAACTATAATTAACTATAGCGCGTAATTATCAAGGTTATGTATATTCATATGAAGGACCAATCAGAGTGTCGATCGCAGTGTTCGCGCTCTCTGATTGGAGGATATTCGATATAGAGATACTCCTATGATGAATAAATAATATAACTAATTTGAAATTTTAGATAATTAATAAGTTGTAAAGTTTAACTTAAATTAACTATAACGCGTAATTATCAAGGTTATGTATATTTATATGAGGGACCAATCAGAGAGTTGATCACAATTTTCGCGCTCTCCGATTGGAGCCCATTGGCCCAATCAGAGAGTCTGTCATGGCCGCCCTGTGATACCAGATTTAGCTCCCAGTCGCGCATGCGCGTAGAAAAAAGCTGTGCGCGCAATGCTGTAGCTATAGGAAACAAAGTATGATCCCATAGCAACGATTAGCGCCAAAACCAGGAAAACCATTTTTTTAATTATAAAAAATGCATTTCATCTGTAAAATTACTTCAACCTCTATCCCTATATTATAATTTATCCACACAATTAATATTACTGCATGCTAAGAAGTATTTCCAATTTTCACTTACAATTCTATTTTTCTTTCGGGCGACTGAGGGCGCCAGTTTTATGGTCGTATTAGATACTTCACTGACGCCGAAACCAATGCGCATGCGCGATCGGGAGCCAAACCTGGTATCGCAGTGGCCGCCCCGTTGAGGATCAGCCAAAAGATAGTGAAGATAGGTTAACTAAGTAGGAAGTAACGACTGATAGTGACCTTTCTTGTCCTTAAAACATCAGTTTCCTACTGGCTGTCGACTGGAGAACGTTGTTTTTTGCTGATATCTGCACAATATCTGAATTTTCCTTTCGTTAAACTCGTGCTTGGTCTAATCGATTCGAAAAGGTAACGACAAAAGCAGTTCGCACACCTTTTATATTCTGAACTTGTGTTATTAATTATATAAAATTAAACAATTCAAAGAATCCTTCGTTCACTATCATATATATTTAGAATTTCTTTTTCTACGTATTTTTTACTTAATCATTCATTCTCGTCACGTACATTATTGAAATATGAACTCGTGAATATTTTTTCTAGGTACATAGCGATGCCAGCAATGTATTTACCGAATATTTAACGCAACTAATGTTAACCTTGAACCAGTGCACTTACTCTAACGCGCTGCCAAAAGTTCAATGTCGCACGAAACCGTTATCACGTCTTTCGAGCTATTCGTAACTTTTATAATTGGACGTGGTTTCTACTTTATTGGAAATCGATCAGATAAAAATAGAAAAGTTGTACAGTAATTTCACATTAATTTTAACATTGATCGGTATCAATACTTTTACAACGGTTTCAATATTTTGGAATATTTTTATATCGGAACGACAGAAATTGTTTGAATTCCAAGTATGTTACGTATATATATATTAATTGGGAGTATGTAGCGAAAGAGATTGGCTTCCAATGCTGAAATTAATTGATATATACATATATAGTATATATTTTTAATATCAAACAGACACGTGTTAGCTGTTAAATAATCTCTACACACCAAGGTTTGTTGAGTATACCTATGGAATCGATAGACTTTCTACGTAATTTTGTGAGAAAGTCATCCGATTCATTTCGTACAACTTTTATAATCCTTGAACACGTATCAATCCTGTAATTTTAGAGCCGTAGGGAGGGAGATTTGTACGGATAACACACGAAACTATCACGCAATGTTTCTAAATAATTTATATTATTTAAATCCTCGCGTATTTCTTAGAGAGAAAAATGGAAATTATTCTCCTGCAATGTGTGCCTTGCACATTAGATCGACCTAGGATCTCTAAGATTATCTTTGCTCTCCTCTTAAGAGTTACCAAAATATTAAGAAATATATTTAGTCTACTTCTCTATGAATTATTTTGTTTTTTCTTATTAAAGATTGTTCGTAGAAGTTTTGAAGCTTGTACTTAGAAATTCGTTTTTATAAATTAGAAATGAAATAATTGATGGATGCACAGACATCTTCAGACGGTGGCGGTAATCAATGCAGACGGTCGTTTTGTATGTATCATACAATATGTCATCTTCCATTGTAGGTTATTTTTCACATTTCCAATCTAACAATTATGTAGTTGGAGTAATTTATCGTCTAATAGTTTGAGCGGGCTTTCTTGATACTTGTTCATATGAAATTTTGAATGACTGCATCAGTAATGATTAGGTGAACGATGTAAGAAGTATGTATATTTTTAGTGACAATTACAGAGGTTACATTCCATTCTTCTAGAATTTATCTTATTTCCTGTGATTTCAATCACCTTTATCGTTAAAAATATAAATTAATGTTATATCGGCATAGTAACACTCGTCTTCCAGCATAGAAATTTTCATGTATCTTTCCACCAAAACTCTTCTTATAATTAGTATAACATTAAATAGTATAATTTGAACCCTATCTAAGTGGATTTGTTCTATGTTTGCTGTATCATCAAGCCTATAAAGCATATAAAAATATGTAGAATGCCTCGACTTGAATTTTGGTACAAATGCTGTGTGCATTGGCATCGCCATCGTCTGGCACGTCCCTGGGACGTCTCCAAATTTCCTCTCTACTTCTGCTCATCGCGAACCCTCCATTGCTTGCCCTACAAGCAGTGCGCACCGACAAATGCAGACAGATGTAGACGAGGTGCCCGAACAATATTGCCACTAATTCCTGTCTCGTATTTATTTGCGCAGCCTGCAAAAATGGTCTGGATTACCAGCGACGACAAGGTATTTTACCTCACCAGTCAGTTAGGGGCATGTAGGGGCTGTTCATAGATTACGTAAGCCTTTTTTCTAGAGATTTTAACTGGTTCCGTGTAAGGAATTGTAAGGAAGTATGAGTACACTTTGTTTGAGGGCTTCATGTAATTTATGGAAGGCCTTGTAGCGTGGATATTAGTTTGCAGTGTATTTATTTTGAGTGTTTTGATGTTTTTAGCGTTTCTTATCTACATTGGTTTTTATAGTAGCTCCAAATTGTTGTGACCAACCATGCAGAATGTTTGTACATAGGGTATGTGACTAAGCACGTGCTCCGGAATTTTTCTTAGCCCAGTAGTTACACTGGGATCCAGTAGCTTGTATATTCTTTATCTTTTCTACTCTTATCGTTGTTTGTTAGCATAATTATAGATAAGTGAGAAGTCCCCAGAAGACCAGTGGCTGCTTCGGTCTGACTGGATAATCCTAGAATTCATCTTCTATTTTTTAACACGCTTGAAACATATGCATTTGGACAGTGGCTATCAGTAACCCTTTGACTGCGAAGGGCGTATATACCTTTGAGAAATTGACTTAGAGAAATATTTATATTAGATAAATAAATTTTTTTTAAATGTCAGCTTATAAGGGATGATGAGACGAAACTTTTTTATGTTTACAGTTTATTCATAGAACGCTTAGTTTCGAAGATAAAAATTGAAAAGTTAGAAGTTCATTAGAAAAATTGAATTTCAGGGAAAAGGTCTTCCAAGTTTTATTTTTTATTTTTGAAACTAAACGTCCTATGAACAAATTGTAAATACAAAAAAATTCCCTATAAGCTGATATTTTTTTTTAATTCACACCTCTACACCTCCCGCAGTCAAAGAGTCAATTAAACAACATTGAACATGGAAAATAGAAGGAAGAGAATTATTACTCGCCAACATTTTTAAATTATGCCAGCGATGTATGTTAATTTTTTTTTTTTTATTTAATTTCAGCGACTGTGGGTTTATTCCACTCAATTTAATTTCCATAATGGTCGCAAAATGTGCTGTATTAAAGCAGGTCGCGAAGGAGGCAGTTCATCGATTGGTAAATCTTCATCAATACCTAAATGAACCCTGTTATGAACTGCAATTAATCTTCTGTACACCTGTGCACACATGTATATCCATGCGTTGATGTAATTATGTGTGCACAAACCTTGTACTGGTTTGCAGGACCGTAGAACAGCAATTACTATTACATCGATACCAAATATGTACTAGTTTCCCTCAAAACTAAAGTCTATATTTGTTTCAAGTATTTTTTTCCTCTGAGTTGAAAGTGTACTGGATATTCATTAATTACTGATAGCTAAACAAATTCATGCTACTGTTTAAACTGAAAAATGCACAAGTCGTTTCTAGCTTATTAAGAAATAGAAAAATTGTTTAGAATCCATCTTTGTTGAAGCGTTGCGTAAGGTAGATGCACAGGAGACTGCACAACGAACACCTTGTTGCCAAGTAGGCAACAATAAAATAACAAACAACAAAGCGAAAATATCTTCCCCTATGTTATTCATGAAGTATATTGTTTATTGTACGCTGTTACAATCTTTACGAACTTGTATCATAAGTGTATGTCCCCCAATTAAAAGATTAAATCCTATCTGATAGCCATCAGTGCTATCTTAAGCAACTTTAAACACGATAAGCATGAACACAATGTGAAACGAGATCTCAATTAGTTGGCACAGTGTTGCTAGTATCTATTCCGACTAAAAAATTCCAAGTCACATTTGGTGCCAGAAGAGCAAGGCCAGAAGCCAAGACCTTGTTAAATTTGAGAAACATTGTAAAAATGCTTTCTCATATTATTGTAATTAAGAAGCCAATTATAGATCACTCGTTACACGAATGCTGTGTGTACACATTACTCCGCTAGCATTACAGCTAGCTTCAAGGATATCTTCTTCGTACCACTTTAACTCTACGAATTGAACCTTTAGAGAACTTATAGCGCTTGGACAAATTTGTTCGTACTGAGTTTCAAAGTGCTTTCGAGTTACATTGCTTGACCAATGACATATTTATGCAACTTGCATCTAATTCTCTTACACTTTGCAGATGTCTGGGAAACCCAACACCCAGGCTTTGTACGCCCAAAGCCAACTAGACCACATGTGCGCCCTCGACATCGAGAGTCGCGCGTCGTTTGTGCGACTCTCAGGGATCATTTGCACTATCGGACCCGCTTCGAGGCCTGTAGAGAAGCTGGAGAAGATGATCGAGACGGGCATGAACATCGCGCGAATGAATTTCTCTCACGGATCCCACGAGTATCACGCGGAGACCATCTCTAACGTGAGGCAAGCGCAGAAGAATCTCACTGCCAAGACTGGCATCAACGTCCCTGTCGCCATTGCCCTCGACACCAAGGGACCTGAAATTCGTACTGGGCTCCTGGAAGGAGTACGTAGTCCTTTCTAGTCCTGCGTACCCTTCAGCTATTGTATCATTGCCTGGAAAAATGTTCATCGCTGGGTTTATGGAGGTTTTATATATACTGCGGAGCATGTATATAGCTGTAATATAGCTCAATCTACTAAGTAGGAATGAAAAGAGAGGTCAATTCTCAGATATATACAACTCTGCTATATATACATAACCAATAATGAACACTATACTTGTTCTTTTCGATACTACAATAATCTTTTCTTACTCCACCAGGGTGGATCCGCTGAAGTCGAGTTGGTGAAAGGTCAGACCTTCAAGCTCTCCACTGACAAATCCTTAGCAGAGAAAGGAAACGCGAATCTGGTCTACGTGGACTACGATAACATCTCCAAAGTGCTGCAGGTTGGAAACCGCGTATACGTCGATGATGGTTTGATATCTCTTATCGTCACCGCAGTCAGTACGTACTCCGAACACTATTTCAGAAAGAATTCAGAATTCAGTCTCCAATTTATTCTCATAAACTGGCATTTATTCGTTATTATCTCGCAGGTCCCGACTCCATCACAACCACGGTTGAGAATGGAGGTATGCTAGGTTCCCGCAAGGGCGTAAATCTCCCTGGCGTGCCAGTAGACCTCCCCGCTGTCTCCGAAAAGGACAAATCTGATCTGCAGTTCGGAGTAGAGCAAGAAGTAGACATGATCTTCGCCTCGTTCATCAGGAACGCCGCGGCCCTGGCGGAGATCCGAGCGATCCTTGGCGAGAAGGGAAAGAATATCAAGATAATATCGAAGATCGAGAATCAGCAAGGCATGACGAACCTTGACGAAATCATCGAGGCTTCCGATGGCATCATGGTCGCTCGCGGTGACCTTGGTATCGAGATACCGCCGGAGAAAGTATTCCTAGCGCAGAAGTGCATGATCAGCAGATGTAACAAGGTCGGGAAACCGGTGATCTGCGCCACGCAGATGCTGGAGTCCATGGTGAAGAAGCCACGTGCCACGCGAGCCGAATCATCTGATGTAGCGAATGCTGTCCTCGACGGTGCTGATTGCGTCATGTTATCAGGTATTTAGACGCTAATAGTACTGTAGAGTTACCAGTCATCCATTTTACTATTTAGAAGTGCAACTTCGAATTCTTTTTAATTTTTAAAAAATATCAAACTACCAAAGATTCAATGTTTTAGTTCTTCATGGCGGGAAAAAAATCTTCAAAAATTCGTAGCTCCTTGAATAATGAACATTTTGGATTCAAACTTTTTTTCCGTGTAGATCTCACGGAAACCTACGAAAAACATATACAAAGTTTTTCTCTAAAATAAAAACCAAATTTTTTAAAAATGTAGTTTGACTTTTTTTAAAAATTCTCAAGGTGAATCCCTATCAATTTGAATAAAAATCTTAAACTAAAAATTGTCTAGAAGAATGTATAGAAACTTTACAAACTCTCGTCACTGTCTTTCATTTCATGAGCTCATAAATTCAACTTTTTATCATTTCCAGGCGAGACTGCCAAAGGAGACTATCCGTTGGAGTGTGTGCGCACAATGGCCAACATCTGCAAGGAAGCAGAAGCCGCCATTTGGCAGACACAGATATTCCACGACCTCAAGAGCAAAGCTGTACCTCCAATCGACGCCACACACGCTACAGCTATCGCTGCTGTGGAAGAGTCCATAAAATGCTTAGCTACTGCCATTATAGTAATCACAACCACGGGTCGCTCCGCGCACCTGGTCGCCAAGTACAGACCTCGCTGTCCCGTTATCGCTGTGACCAGATTCAACCAGGTCGCGAGACAGGCGCATCTGTATCGTGGCATTCTTCCACTTTATTACGACGGTAATAAAAAATGTCGCGATTAATACTCTTAGTTACATTATTTAATATTAAAATTAATTAAAACTACTATTAAAAGTAACACTTGTACAGCGAACGACTTGTAGATTTTTAAGCGCATATTTTACAACCGTAGGATTGATTATTGTAATTGTAATTTTTGTTTAATTACTGCCTGCAGCCGCGCCATTGCCCGATTGGGTGAAGGACGTCGATGTACGCGTTCAGTTTGGATTGAACTTCGGCAAGAGTCGCGGTTTCATTAAAACTGGAGACTCTGTTGTAGTCGTCACTGGGTGGAAACAGGGCTCAGGATTTACGAATACGCTTCGCATTGTGTACGTAGACATTGAAGTTTCAGAAGACGAAGATGCATGCTCTGTACATAGCGGAAGAGACTCTTACGAAGACATTCTATAATTTTCTACAATTTTAACGCGTTTAGTATATTAAAATATTGATCACTCTGCTTTGTATTTAAATGTCTTTTGATAATACAATTGTGTCGTTTCTTCTGGTTAAGTAGAATAATGAACAGAAAGCGATGGAAGAGACTCTTACGAAGACGTAATTTATTATTTTATTCTATAATTTTCTACAATTTTAACGCGTTTAGTATATTAAAATATTGTTCACTCTGCTTTGTATTTAAATGTCTTTTGATAATACAATTGTGTTGTTTCTTCTGGTTAAGTAGAATAATGAACAGAAAGCGATGGAAGAGACTTTTACGAAGACATTCTATAATTTTCTACAATTTTAAAGTAGTTAACTCTGTAGTTAAATGTCTTTTAACAATATAACTCCATTATCTAGTTTCTTCTGCTTAAATAGATTAATTGAAAGAAAGAGAACAATATAATATTTAATTGCATGCTAAGTAACATAACCTATGACTGATGACCTAAATATTAATGTTATGTTCTTTTTATATTTCTAGAAATGTTGACTAAAAACATACTGGCTGACCATAAAAGAGAAACGAGGATTCAGCGACTGTAGATGTTGAAAGTTCAGTATTTATGTAACTTATATGTACGATGGGTATAGTAAATTCATTGAAACATTATAAATTCGAAGATGCCAGTAGTCGCAGTATTATTCAGCCTACGAAGTACCTACTACTTAAATGCAGTACACCTAAATATATATGTATACGCACGTATATGACAAAGCGAGATATTTGCTCGAACCAGTGAATCGTTGAATTAACTGCTTGAAGAGTATCTACTGGATTTCAGAATCTGTATAAAGATGAATAAAAAAGTGTATTTTATTTTAAACGCTTCTTCATTAGTTCCCCATTTTTCAGAGAGCACGTACCAGACGAGCCATCATAAATTCAGGTAGCATTAAAGAGCAAATACAGCAACGATTCAAAAGCAATTCTAAATTCTTCTGATAGCAAAACGTTGCTGTGTTCAAGTTCTTTCATCTGTGTCACATGTAACCACCAGCCATTAACCAATCTCAAACTAATAAAATGGACATCTAATTCTAATTGTAATTACTAACATACTCATCGCCTCAGGCATAAAATGCATAAAATTGTCAAGTATTGTATATTCGATTAAGCAAGACACGTCATGATTTGCTCTAGAGAACTAGCACCTATAGCTAAAAGGACAAATGGTCACCGATTGCCATGGGTAATAAAACTTTATAATAAAGAAGAACATATCATAAGATAAGTTTAACGAGGTATATAACAGCAGAAATATATTTGTAACGATTATGATTAGATACAGCTTGAAGATTATGCTTTAACCGACAACCAGATACAAGCAGCTCATCAAAATACTCTCCTTGAACATAATACACGACTCGATGTAGCTTCCAGGCCTAATCTAGCGAGGCTCACCAGAATTATGGTTACTTTGGGTAAGGCAATGGCTATGTCCTAATCTCGTTACTGAAAAGAAACAAAAACAAACAATCTTTCCTCGAATATTTACCCAGGACTGATTATGTTTTCGTAGGCATTGCAAATTCTCATCCCGACGCCGTCGTTAACATGATGACGACGGGCGCAAACATGGTTCGTTTGAACATGTCTCATCAAAAGGAGGAGTGGCATGCAATCACCACGCAATCCATCAGAGACGCTGGGAACAAAATGTACGAGCTCACCAGCGAGATTTACCCGTTGGGTATTGCGATGAACCTTCAGGGTCCTGAGATAAGGACTGGTATATTCCGTGGTGATAAGAACAGCATAGTATGATTCTCATTTACTAAGGTCGATGCTTATTTAAATAAGGAATCGTTTGATGTCGAGTTGCTTGTTTTAAAATCGTTTTTCATTTGTACTATTTCCCCTAGATATAACGATAGATCCAGATGAAAGCAGGTTTTAATTGTTTGTACTTGCAGGGCTACGCTGAACTGAAGGAAGGACATGCAGTGAAACTGGTAACGGACGATACTTTGAAACGAGCAGGATGTAGGAGCTGTTTTTGGGTATCTTATCCAGAGTTGCCACGAATATGTCGACCTGGGGACAGAATTCTCATTGATAGAGGCAGCGTTGAGTTGCGAGTCGCTTGTGTCCGTTAGTTGGAAAGATTTATTGCTACAATAATCTAGGAACAACTGTTGAAATTTATTTTTAATTCAATTTCAGTTGTATCGCAAAGGACAGGAACCTACAGCGTAGTCCAATAATCTACAAACCACTACCAGAATTGATATTTAATTTAATTTCAGTTGTATTGTGAAGGACAGGAACCTATAGCGTAGTTCAATAATCTATGAACCACTACCAGAATTGATATTTAATTTCAGAATTTAATTTCAGTTGTATCGCAAGGGACAGGAACCTACAGCATAGTCCAATAATCTACAAACCACTACCAGAATTGATATTTAATTTAATTTCAGTTGTATTGTGAAGGACAAGAACCTATAGCGTAATCCAGTTAATCTACAAACCACTACCAACACTGATATTTAATTTAATATTTTGACATATTTGACAATAAAAAAGAGAGATCAAATTTCTCCCTATCGCAGGTGAGGCATCCGTAGTTTGCAAAGTAGTAAAAGGAGGCATGGTAAGGGATGGAAAGCTGGTGCAACTATTGGACAGCGTAGTTGAGTTGCCACAGGTTTCGAAGAAGGACCAGGAACACATCCAATTGGCTTCCTTTCTAGAATGTGACTTCGTTATAATAAATCATACGCGAAGTGAGAAGATGGTACATACCATTAAAACTGGCTTTGAAGAGATGGGTATGTCTAATCCAAGTGCACCTCTACGAACAATTTAAAAATTACATGTTTAACAGCTTGATTATTTGCAAAGGTAACACTAGAGTCTGCATCATTGCTAAGATTTCTTCGCTGCAAGGTTTTGAGAATTTCGATGAGATTCTGAGAGCAGCCGATGGGATACTTCTGGACAGAGCCAGCCTTGAGACCGATGCTGGAAGTGAGAAGTTATTTCTTGTCGAAAAGATTGCTATCGCAAAGTGTATCAAAGTGAGTGGTCAAATCGACTTTTAAAATTGCTACGATAACATTTTCATTTGCCAATTTTGTTTAGATAGGAAAACCAGTTATCTTAGGATTCGACGTATGCAAGGACGAATCGAATCTTGATATGAACTTGATTGCGAATGCAGTATTGAACGGAGTCGACACAATTTTTCTCAAGACTGGAAGTTTGGATGCGAAAGAGACGACTGAATTAATCAAATCTGTGGACGTGGTGTGCAGGGAAGCTGAGAGCGCGCGATGGCAGAAGGAAATTTTCTATGAACTTGGGAACAAGGTAGCCTGGGAAAATTATACTAATATATCTTTCGTTCCAGAAGCTATATTAAATTATATATGTATAATATATTATAAATTATGATACATTAAATATATTTAATGATATATTATTCTGTAATTACAGGTGCTGATACCTGCAGATCCTGCGCAGGCGATTTCCATAGGAGCAGTGGAAACCTCTTTAAAATTGAACGCCGCCGCGATCGTCGTCACGACGACAACTGGTCGCAGCGCTGTTTTGTTGTCCATGTATCGTCCTCGATGCCCGATTCTCGCGGTCACGCGCTATGGAGTAGTTGCACGGTGGTTGCAACTTTATTATGGGGTCCATCCATTCCATTATAAAAGTAAATGCAGAGTTTTTACATTGCTCTCTATCTTCCGTTACTTAACTTTATTATGGTGTCCATCCAAGAATCTGTTTCTCTCTCTGTTACTTCTTTCTTTCTCACAATCCTTGGATTTACGGAATCATTTAATACAGAGCAATTTAATAACATTACAATACATTACAAGATACATTACAATATTAATATAATTGCAGAAGAGCCATTGTCTGACTGGAGTAAAGACATAGACGCGCGAGTACAGAGCGGTATCGATTCCATGCGAAGGAAGAGGTACATAAAAGTTGGCGATGCGGTCGTCGTAGTCAGCACGTGGCGCGAAAACACAGGCTTCACGAATACCATACGTGTAATTTATGCAACACCAGGACACTCGGAGAACGAAGTACCAGATTTAGAAGTCTGTTGGTGAAATGGTACCCTGATTCATCCAAATGAAACACCGAAGTAAACAGTAATTTCCTAAAAATGAATCATTCAGAATTTAAGCACACATTTGCTCGCGTTTAAATTACTTGGATTAATTATCTGGAATATTTAACCAGTCTCCACGCAAATGGCGCTTTAATATTTCTGGCCATATGTCGACGTTGATAATGCCCTTTTTTTCTAGCTATTTGAGTCGACTGATTCAAGATTTTTTTGTTGAACAGTTATCGCGTGATAAATACCACGTTAATAGATTCAATAAAGATAACGTCTAGCAGTATCGAACGCTTAGAAAGTAAAGAACGAATCAATTAGTTGGTTAATAAATAATAGGAAGATGTGCAAACATATGTTTCATCTGTCGTAGGATGATCACAGGGTGATCAAGACTCATTGGGAGTTGTGTTTATTCTTTTTTATGCCAATGGTGTAGCGTTACCGCGTTTAGGCGTGTTTATCGAGACATTAGGGACGAGATGTTCAAGTGCCCATTTGCGTTAATATTAGAATGTAATTTAATGCCCTCTCCTGTCCCCGTATCGATTTCCTAGGTAATTTGTCTTCTCTGTTCCACTTCCGAATGGAAAGTCACGATTTTCTTGTTCTAATAGCCAACACATGCCTTCGGTTATTCTTTTTATTTACAATTATGAATATCTTGTTCGTAGTTGATCAAAATATTGTACGGTGACATCAAAGATGGCAAGTTTCAGAATGAGCTCGAAGGGAATATTTCAAGAAATGAGGATTGCTCTGCGAACAAAGCCAACTTTGGACTGATCCTCAACATCTGGAGGGCAGATGAGATGGAATTTTGGTCCAGCAACCCAAAATCTGGCCATTGTGGAGATGTTTTCCTGCTACTATCTCTCAGCGAATACCTCCAATGCTGAAGAGACGCATCACATCCATGCAATGGACACCTGGATGCCTCGTTGTACCATACTCTGAGATCTGCAGAGGACTTCTACTTGAGCGTGGGAGGGTAGGAAGCGCGCTTGCGCTCGAGATCATCGCGTGGTTGGTTCTTAGGCATCTGTGTCCACATCCCTTGTAAACATGTCCACGTGTGGGTGGGTGTATTACATATATATAAATATGGGGTCACCCTCGACACTACCTCACTTTGCGTCGTTACTCGCACGGTGCAAGATCACAGTTCCCAAGATTGGGATCCCTCGAGCAACCAAGCTTATTGGAACGTTCTTGATTCCATCGTCTGTGATAGAGTAAGTTTTTTCATTTACCACCCTTTCTGTCAGAAGCCTTCTGTCTTTCATTTATTCATTTTAATACTTGGCGCTCTTTAGTCAATTAATCCTCTTTAGTTAATTAGAATAACATGTCGATAGATATTAATAAATAAATTTTGGTAATTTCCTCTTCGTTAAAACTAAACTTGTAATTCAACATTCCGGTTGGAGATAAACACCAATCACAAACAAATTTCGTGTTCGTTTCAGATTAAGATCCAAATAATTATTTTAAATATATTTATAAAGTGGTAAACAAAGAATGAGCCTTGAAGGAGATTAAGAATGATAGCGTGATCATGTCGCAATGTAATTACGCAAATTGAATCCCTTTATCCTGGCTAAACAGTTTAATTGGCTTGCCGGGTAATTAAACCCTTTGTAAGCTCTCGTTACGATTTAATGTCTCTGCGTTTATGAATACCTTTGTTAAATATCTAACGTAGTAATTGCATTCCATAAAAGTGAACAATGTGAACATTTCTCAGCCGGCTAGAGTTGTTAAGCGCCTTTTGTTTTATGTGTACAATGGAAACACACGAGCTGGATGAAATCACTTTGATTGTTGTTGCAGTGGATACGATTCGCATTGCTTTGATTAGCATCAAAGTAATTATAGAATGAGAAGAAGGGAAATTTTGAAATTAATTGAGTGTATCTAGATTTACATTTGTATTTGCATGTGTTTGATTGGAAGGCAATTAAAATTAATTCTATGAGTAAACTCGATATTGAATTTAGAAGATTAGTCTGTTTCCTCTGGGCAATGAGAAGCTGATCGATAGATAGATAGATTGTAAACGAAAACTATTCTAGAAAAATTATTCTCCTTAGCCTGAACACCTGTAACGCATACATTTATTTAGAATATAACAAATTATTACTTTGTTTCGTTTGAAATTAACTGAGTTTCAACAAGAATTGTTTCCAAATTTAATGTATTGTTCTATTTTCAGGTAGCCTTGACAAGATGTCAAGAAACTTCTTTCCAAAATGTATGGTGCTGCTTGTTGTCATCGGTTTCGCTTTTGGGATTGAAAAATACATGGACTACGGAGAAGGTATTTATATATTTATATAATTATATAATTATACAGTGATTCAAGGGCAATTTGAACAAACTTGTCCAGATACGATGACTTTTCCTACTGCTATCTATATGAATAAGAATAATTTTTCCTTTCGACTGCTTAATTTATAATGTATGTTCGCAGATGAGATCCCAGAGAAGATTCTGGCGGATGATATCAACGAGCTCTACAATTTGCTAATGCAACGCAATGCTTTACACAATACTGTATTTGGCGGTATTCCATTAGAACATCTAATAACCAGGAAATCTCAACGATCGCCCTCTCTGCGCCTACGTTTTGGACGCTCGGATTCTCATCTACCTGTAACTATTCCTTTACTATTTTTTAGTGCAATCGTTTACTTTTTGTGACGACTACACGTTTGAATATGTATGCATTTATTCTAATGCTTGAATAGGGTTGAATACCCTCCTACTTCCACTTACAAACTTTGCTTAATCTATCCTTATTCTATCCTATAATATGTAATAATAATGCCAATAATGTGTGTTTTTCAGATGAGAGCATTCCTGGGATCTGTCGACGCTATGGCTTCTTCGAGATTCGACAAGTAAATAAAAATCTCAGAAATAATTGCAAAAAAAAAATATCGAACCTATAAGCATAGTTTTTCTATTATTTTCTTAATAATATTGTAAAAAGAAAATAATAAAAACTCCGGAACACCAGGAGATATCAAAATGGAAGCTGTATGTGAATTTATACACTTATATATCAATAAAATGAAATGATAGATTATTTGAAATTTGAATAGTTTGAAAATCAGTCGGTAAGGAAGTATGTGTAGTGATGGCGCCACCTAGCGTGGAAAGTTTGAGGTTATGTCCTGTATAAACTTGGACGTTTTACCGCCAGAGAGCGCTGACTATAAATTTAAAAATTAGTTCATACTATTTATTTTAATAAAAACAATTTAAACACAAGAACTGACAATATTCTGCATCGTTAGAATTAGAAGAAGTTAGAAGTTAGGATGCATTGAGGGAATGCAGGCATTGATCATCTAATATAATGTTTACGCTACCATACCCAGTTGCCTATTCCTGTGTTAGACTATGCTAAATAGAATACAGAAAACTTATAATTCAAACTTATGAATATACTATTAAGGTAAATAGGATGGAACTAGAATGCATGGGATTTCTGGATGCAAACAATTCTGAATGTTCTCATAGGTCTAACGATGGCCATTTTATTAGAGAGAATCTATTAGAATCTTCTTGTTAAATTTATTAGAGATTTCTAAACAGGAACCTTGTTCAAAATAAGTTTATCTCCTATACTTTAAAAGGTACATTATAAAAATATTGAATTATTTATTTTAATACTTTAACTAATTATTTTATTCTTCATAATAGAGAGAATGTTACAAAGGAGAATGGATGAAGAATGGGTCTAACGATGACCATTTTATTAGAGAGAATCTATTAGAATCTTCTTGCTAATTTTATTAGAGACTTCTAAACAGGAACCTTGTTCAAAATAAGTTTATCCCCTATACTTTAAAAGGTACATTATAAAAATACTATATTAATTATTCTAATACTTTAACTAATCATTTTATTCTTCATAATAGAGAGAATGTTATAAAGGACAATAGATGAAGAATGGGTCTAACGATGGCCATTTTATTAGAGAGAATCTATTAGAATCTTCTTGCTAAATTTATTTATTACTTCTTATTAACTTTAAAAGGTACATTATAAAAATATCAAATTACTTATTCTAATACTTGAACTAATTATTTTATTCTTCATAATAGAGAATGTTACAAAGGACAATAGATGAAGAATACTAAAGTTACTCACAGTTACTCACTATACATGATGAGTAACTATAGTGAGTAACTCTGAATGGTCTCACGAGTCTAATGGTGGCCATTGACAACTGATACGCATACATTCATGACTATACGGTATTATACCCCTAAATTGTTTATAAAAATCTAACAATCTATCCGAATATAAAATCCAACGTTGCCAAGGAAGGCTGCATTTTTACGTTCTCTTAAGAAACGATCAAATAATTGAACATTCTACAAGGAAACTCGATTTACTAAAAATATGCTACTCTTCCAACCAATTCCAACTAATACACGATACAATAAATTGTTACTGTTACATAAAAATGCAGCCTTTAAAACAAGCGGAACGCGACGATCGCTAGAGTATGATACGGGGTAGGCGTCATCTTTAACAAACATAACGTTTCTTTTTTTTTTTCTCGGTAGTGATAATGAATCGTGATATCGCGGCAAATAAACATGGCGCCGATTTGATACTGGAGTCCTTTACTTCGGGCAAGCCGCGAGCCTTGTCGCAATTTCCACAAACTCCGTTCTATCGTCTGTCACGTCTGATCGACGGGAATTGGGACAATTCACGATACAACGGCTGTATCGTCCATATTTCCAGAGAGAACGTTTGATAATCTGGCACGTCATACATGTCAAAATGGCACGGGAATATGATCACTTATTTAAGCTCCTAATAATAGGTGATAGCGGTAAGTGCACCAATACTTGTGTCGAATACATTCATTACTCAAAATACATGCACAACAGTTTATTATGTTTATAATATTTATACATACATTACTCCAGTTTCAACGTACTATAGACAATGTAAATTCATACTGCAGCCATGTAATTAAACAGAAATCTCAACGTTAATAAACTTACATCTTTCGAATGATCTACTCGTTGCTTGAAAACTTTAACTTTACTGTTCCGACGCTGCTGAAATGTACACAAACATCAGCTAAATATCACATTTGCCCCCGATACGATAATTTGTATCCCTATTTGTCATCGCAAAGACAACTCTCAGTTTACCAAACAATCGTTTAGACCGTGATCACATTTTATAATCGACAGAAAATTGTTAATTGATAATTGAACCTAACCTTAACTCCATCACGATTTGTCTCTCGCAAAGAAGACAAACTTAAAAGGCACCTGTAAGACTTATGTTGTATTTTGAGCCCGTTCATAATCTATAAGTTGTCTATGTACACAATGAAACTATGATCCATGGGTATACAATCCGAGGAACGACACACCTTTAATTACATTCTTGTTTTTCTGTGTTCAAGGTGTAGGTAAAAGTTCACTGCTCTTGCGATTCGCCGACAATACATTCAATGGCAGTTACATAACGACAATAGGAGTGGATTTTAAAATAAAAACAGTGGAACTAGACGGTGAGAGGGTAAAACTCCAAATTTGGGATACAGCCGGGCAAGAACGTTTTCGGACAATAACTTCAACTTACTACAGGGGCACACACGGTGTTATAGTTGTATATGACGTGACTAGTGGCGATTCGTTTGCTAATGTTAAAAGATGGTTGCATGAAATCGAACAGAATTGCGATGTGGTCAACAGGGTACTTGTAGGAAATAAGAACGATTCACCCAACGAGAAAGTTGTCTTGACGGAGGATGCGCAGAGATTTGCCAATCAGATGGGAATCCAGTTATTCGAGACTTCTGCTAAGGACAATATCAATGTTCAAGAAGTGAGTTGAACTTGTATTTGATACATATTAGAAAATTTCAGTAAATAGTCCAAGTGTCTTGCGTTACCTTTGTTAACAAAGGTAGGAGACTGATCGTGCATTGACTTCAGTTTGCGCTAATTTGTTAATGTAGATGTTTCTGGCGATAACACGGCAGGTGTTGAAGACCAAGAAGGAAAGGAAGGAACGCCAAGCTATACAAACCAGCGAAACAGTGAATCTGAGGAAAAGCACGAAGCAGCATAAAAAGAAATGTTGTTAACGGCATTGTATAAATGCATGATCTATTAACAATTCTCTCAATGACAGAAGTGAATTAAAACAAAGGATACGCGATAGAAGAAACGTGTACTCATAAACGTAATGTTAATGATTCTTTTAAAACTATTAAGTTTTATATTTAAATTACAACATCGAATTGTGTATTCTCCTAGAAGTATACTTTGACGCTAGTAACATACGATATACATAGGATGCGAATATCATGAGTGTGTAGTATTAATTTAGCGAAAATAATTTTGTAAGCAACAGATTTTGTGTTACGTGCTCTAAAAATGTAAAGGCCTATTTGTATTGTACGACTTACGAAAGAATCAGCACAAAAAGGAGAAAAAGAGAATTAAATTAATTGTTTTTTATTCGAGCTCTGCATAACGCGACATAATTTATCGAAAGTATGGCATTTAAATGTAACGTAAAGTAACATACATTATGCAAAGCTTCGTCCAAATTGAGCAGAATAAAAATATGATTTATTTAAGATTCGTACGCTTACAGGAAATATTCTTTTTAACGAGTTACCATAAGAGCCGAATATTGCTAATAATGTTTAATGTTAAACACAAAAGAGGCGTTCAATATTATTAATGAGTCCAGATAACGTTTAACATTGATTTTATATCGTTTAAGGTTCCTGTCAATTAATTTTTCTCTTGCGCTCTAAACGAATCGAACTATACTAAGCGATAGAAATTGTTTACGGTATGGCAGAGGCAAGCTTTTTCATTGGCATAGAAAGCATTCCATTAATTAACTCTTTGACTGCGAGACGATTTTTGCTGGAAATTTTAAGAAGCGTAGAGGTGTGAATTTTAAAAAGATATCAGCTTATAAGGAATGATAAGACGGAACTTTTTTCTATTTATAGTTTATTTATAGGACATTCAGAAATAAAAATTAAAAACTTGAAAGATGACAGTGAAAAGTAAAAAAACAACAGTCCAATAATCGAATTTAAAAAAAAGTATCACCTTATACAGAATGACAAAACGAAATTTTCTTATCTTTACAGTTTATTCATAGGACGTTTAGTTTCAAAGATACAAATTGAAAACTTGGAAGACCTTTTTGCCTGAAATAAAATTTTTGTAATGAACTTCCAACTTTTCAACTTTTGTTTTCGAAACTAAGCGTCATGTGAATAAACTGTAAATATAAGAAAGTTTCGTTTTGTCATTCTGTATAAGGTGATATTTCTATCAAATTCATCAAATAAGTAATTGCCAAGTAATCCTTTTATTTTCACCATTCTAAATGTAATCGAATTTGGAGAGAAAAGGTCTTGCAAGTTTTGAATTTTCATTTTTGAAACTGAAAGTTCTATGAACATTCTTATCATTCCCTATAAGGTGATATTGTTTGAAAACTGATTTATTGTTTAAACATTTATCTGAGCTTATTTGTCTATACATACGTACACATACTTTATATATAAGAACGTACTTTTCAACTTTTGTTTTCGAAACTAAGGGTCGTGTGAATAAACTGTAAATATAAAAAAAATTTCGTCTCACCATCCTCTATAGGCTGATATTTTAAAAAAAAATGATTTAACGAATATAAACAATCTCAGCCTTTCTCAAGAGTATATGTATATATACATCCTTCGCAGTCAAAAGGTTAAAAATTTTGTTTAAATGTATCGAGACGAGCTTTTTTTTTGTATTTTAAAAGAAAATTAAAATCAGGCGAAATTGTAACTTCTCGATGCATTGATAATCGAATGTATTTTTCACGGTAACAATAATTTTAGTACGGTAATCTTGTGAAAAACTTGGCAATGCAACAATATAAAAACGTATGGAATTGTATCTGTAAGTATGCGTGAAGAAATTTCTGTTTTTTGCTTATTTTTTTTCTTTTTTTATAAATATGATGCGAGCGATCTGTATTTGTAATAATATTATAGCTTAAATTAATAATTCATCGGCATACGCGACTAAAGTAACCAATCACTCGAGCATTTTCACGTTTGCAAGCAAAAAGTTTTGTTAATCGTTCCGAAAACCATATTTACTAGCGAAATTGTTTGTGTATTAAAAGGCAGAAGGTACATCGTAGCGGGCAAAATGTGCAAAATGTGCAAAGTACGTAACAATTTGTCATGTTCGGTGATAAAATACGACACGATCGATATGCTATAATATGCTATAATAATATAATAAATGTCTTCTTTCCATCTGTGATAATAGTTAGGATATCTACCCAGCTGCCGCTGTAATACCGTTATTAATAAGTCCTTACGAGTTATCACAAAATTGATGTTGCAATTTTTTCGTCTGTACAACATATCTCTTTAACGAGACATCGATGATGCGGCATCCTATCACGTGTAAATATTCTACTTGCCAGTTTTAGTGGCATATCACAAGTATTCTTATCGATTATATTCAATATTGTTTACTGTTATACAGTTATAACATTGTAATACGAATTATTATATACTTTAAAATATTAAATAAATAGGACTTTACGTGTACACGTATATGCATCCTTTTTGCAGCTTTCTAGATATTCTTTGTCACCTCTGATATAATCACTGTAATCTGCATATTACGTTCTAGTTATACGAAACTTTTATTTGTAATAATAATAATATTTGAACTTTGTTTCGAGGGGCACATAGAAGAGAATATTTGCAATCGTGATTCATTATTTATTAATAGTACACATGTACATTTAATATAAATTAATTTAAGTAATTTTCTTATTTGCGGATTGTAAATTCTAGCTGCGAAAAGTATTACAGAGAAATTTTGTATGATTTTCCAGCTTATGGAATGCAGTCATCGATACATGTTCTTTTGTTTATCGTATAGTTTATAATGTAATGGATTCTTAATATTACAGTCTTGAATATTATTTTAGTGCTAGGTGAAATCTCAATTATACTGGTAGATATTTTGTTTACAGAGATACATGGATGTAAACATGAAATATTCATCTAAGTACTGTTAGAATAATATACTTTGCTGAATATACTTAATATATTTTTCCTGAATAATATATTCAGATTTTAGCTTCAAGATTTCCAGTTACTTGGCTCTAATTTATTACAATGAGGAATTGACTGTATAATCAGTAGACTGCTGATTTTTATGTAAAATAAAGTCTTCGGGAACGTGCCTACAAAAATTGAACCTAAACAGGAATTCATTTTATTCTGCAAATATTCTAATATGAACTTTACTTTCAATCTTTTTTATATTCTTCCATATTGTTTGCATTTTGTAGGTCTTGCACATTCAAATTTCCTATAAATGCATATTATGATTATAATTTTATCATAAAATGATTTATTGGTAGCAAGTGTACAGGAACTTATGGGACAACCTAGTATTATAACATGAATTTTACTCTCCATCTTTTTTATACTCTTGCATATCGTTTACATTATATAGATTCTTGCACATTCAAATTTCCTATAAATGCACAAAGATCCGCAGTCTAATAATCAGTCACTGTGTGATACTCAATAGTCGATATACTGAAAGTTTAAAAAGTAACGTTGAAAAGGTAATGGAAATCTATTTTCTAACTCGTACAATGTATCTGAAATTGCATAGTAGTTTAAATTAATTTATTATTAAGGAATCTAACATGTAAAATGGTACATGAGAGTACATAGCAAGTCTTTTCTATTTAAAATTTCTTTTTTAGGTTCATACGTTTTCCTAAGGAACAGGGATAAGGAATAATAGAAATTAGGAAGACCATTTGTTTTACAAAATCTATTTTCTAACTCGTACAGTGTATCTGAAATAGCATAGTAGTTTAAATTAATTTATTATTAAGGAATCTACCACATAAAATGTTACATGAGGCTACATAACACAATCTCATCTACCAAAAATTTCTTTTCCAGGTCCACGCGCGGTCAATGACAAGTAACAAAAAGAACCCAAGAAATTAAACAAAAAGAACCATACATACATAAGATACACATCATAAAATCGCAGTAGCTACAACGTGGTCGGTACTCGTATATCCCCCCACTTTCCCGAAACGAAAACTTAAAAATGCCGCCGCAGCACAGCCCTGAATCGATATTCGCCGTCGCGGTCACGTGGCGCGCGGTCCCCCTCTCTCTCGACCAATCAGCTCAGCGCAGAGCCGCGGCAGGCTCCGCCCCCCCGTCGAAGGAACGACACCGCGACACAGTGATGGACATTCGTGGGATTTTTCCTGATCATGCGTATTGGAGCGAGTGTTGCAGTCCTCACTGCTGTATACACTTACTTAGAATTTAGGGTACCATTGGATCCCAGTAAGGAACAAAATATAGGGTGTCCCAAAAATGGTGGAGATCATGGAAAGGGGTGATTCGGGAGGTGATTTAAAACAACTTTTCCTTAGCGAAAATGTTGTAGGAGGCTTCCTTGAGGAGATATTACCGGAAAACACTGACCAATCAGAGCGCGAGTATGCCGGTGGAGCGGCCGCGGTAGCGAAGGCTAAGCGCTAGGCGGCCGCACTCCATCGGCCTCCATATCCTCAACGAAGCCTCCTACAACATTTTCGCTAAGGAAAAAGTTGTTTCAAATCACCTCCCGAATCACCCCTTTCCATGATTTCCACCATTTTTGGGACACCCTGTATAATGTCCTCTTCCTTTCTTCGATGATTCCTGACGTGGACGGCTGCGGTTCGTTATCCATTTCCTTTTTAATTTTCCCTAACATTACACTCACGAACACTAAGGCTCTTGTACTTAATTTAATACAAGTAAAAAATTACAATTAAATTACAAATAAAAAACGCGGGGAAAATTGCACGAGCCCCTTAAATGCGCCTCCTCTAGCGGTTCGGATACATGTATGGTAGCAGACGACATGTAGCCGTGACGTCAGCTTACGCATGCGCAGAAAGGAATTCCTCGAAGGAAAAATCCCACGAATGTCCGTCACTGCCGCGACATCTGACTACGGGCGACCGGAACAACAGTTCGCGACTGGCGACGCATCGGTGAATGTTTCGGCGATATGTCGTTTGAGGCCAGTCGTGGTTCCGCGACACGTTTGATCGCCGCGAGGACGAAAATGGTAACGTGCACGCCGCGGTATCATCGCCAGGTGAGGTACCGGGGCTGCCTTTGACGCTGTTCGCGTTCGTTTCGTGCTCGTTCCAGGCGAACGTAACGGCGGTGTGCGTGCGAGTATCGCGCGTATATATATATATACATATATATATATATATATGGTGTCTGAAAAGAGGTGATCGGTGCGACGAGGAGAGGAACTGGACGTGGAGAAAGAAAGAAAAGAAAAGGAAAAATAAAGAAGGCAAGCACGCGCTGTGGATGAATGCACGCACGGACGTATATATACGCAGCCGGGAGGAAACGAGAGGGCCGCGGGGGGAGGTTGAATGAGAGCTGGCGGGAAGTGAGCGAGAGAGTGCGCGAGTGAGTGAGTGAGAGGGACGGACGATATAAGACAAAGACGTACTGGCGAGCGAAGCGTGGAGCGAGGCGAGGGCGAGTTAAAAAATACGGTTCCATGCGCGTGGCGTGCTCGGGAACGATTGCTGGTACGTCTCGAAGTCCACTCTTCGCCATCGATGCATCGAAGACAGGACACGGTCACCCAGGCGTACGTTTTCAAAACAAACGGAAGGCTCCTATCGTCAAAAAATCTCCAGAGGAGAGGGAGGGACTCGAAGAGGTTAAAGGGAAGATACCATAGAAAACTAACCCTATATATGTACGTATGTACGTATATATGTGTACATATATATTTATACATAGATAGATAGAGTGATAACGAATAAAAGATAGAAACCAATACATATATGTCTGCATGTACGTATATATGGAGGAAACTGTCCCTACACCATGGAGGAAAGTCATCTGTTGATGACAGAGCTCCCAGTGTTGCCCACCAACCGTGGCACGACGCTCCTCCACCGTTCAGGACACTACTACCAGCTGCACCAGCCGCACCTGGCCATACCGAGCTCTCAGAGCCAAGGTATCCTCTACAACCCCGCCACTACGCCGCATTACACCAGCGGCGTCAGCCTGCCAGGGTACACGCAGAGCATCCTGTCCAGGCAGCAGCCCCAAGTCGCCAGAGACAACGTCCCGACAAGCACGCACATCTCTTGCCTTTATCCAGAGATACTGGCGTTGATCTTTAGCTACCTGGAAGTCAGGGACAAGGGATGCGCTGCTCAAGTGTGCATAGCGTGGAGAGACGCAGCGTACCATCGGTCCGTTTGGAGGGGAGTCGAGGCAAAGTTGCACCTGAGGAAGCAGGCACCTGCGTTGTTCGCTAGCCTAGTAAAGAGGGGAGTGAAGAGGGTGCAGGTGCTGTCGCTGAGGAGAGGCCTCGGGGACGTTCTTAAGGGCATACCGAACTTGGAGTCGCTGAACCTCTCAGGCTGCTACAACATCAACGACCTAGCCTTGATGAAAGCGTTCTCCCAGGAATACCCCATGCTCACCGAGCTGAACCTTTCGTTGTGCAAACAAGTGTCGGACATTACTCTTAGTTGTATAGCGAAGTATCTGCAGAATCTGGAGCACCTGGAGCTCGGTGGCTGCAGGAACATCACCAACGACGGGCTGCTGTGCATAGCTTGGTACTTGAAAAAGCTGAAGAGGCTGGATCTGAGAAGCTGCTGGCAGGTGTGCAACGATGGCATCGCTTATCTAGCAGGTATACATCCGCAGACACATAGTGCGAGCTTCCTGATGGAGCAGTTCGCTGGTATAGTTAACTTCGACGCAGCTGGTGGGAACTTTGCCCTGGAACATTTGAGTCTTCAAGATTGCCAGAGGGTGACCGATGAGGCCCTGCGGCACATATCCACAGGATTGACCACCTTGAAGTCCATCAACCTCTCCTTCTGCGTCTGCATCGGCGACACAGGCGTGAAACACCTGGCCAAGATGTCCAGCTTGAGGGAGCTGAACCTCAGGTCCTGCGACAACATCTCCGACGTCGGCATGGCTTACTTGGCCGAAGGTGGGAGCAGAATCTCCTCGCTGGACGTGTCGTTCTGCGACAAGATCAGCGACCAAGCTCTGGTTCACATTTCTCAGGGGCTGTTCAACCTGAAGTCTCTGTCGCTGTCCGCCTGCCAGATCAGCGACGAGGGCATCTGCAAGATCGCCCAGACCCTCCACGACCTGGAGACGTTGAACATCGGCCAGTGCAGCAGGTTGACGGACAAGGGCCTCTACACGATCGCGGAGAGCATGAAGCACTTGAAGTGCATCGACCTCTACGGATGCACCAGGATAAGCACCAGCGGGCTCGAGAGGATCATGAAGCTGCCACAGCTGAGCACGTTGAATCTTGGTCTATGGCACGTGCGGTGATGGCTTTTTCTAAACAGTATTCAGGATTTGCGTCCCATCCGCGGAACGACCGAGGCGTCTCGTCCGATTGCTCGATGAACGATTATCAATTTTCACCTTTTTACCAAATTACACGCGGATACGATACGCCTTCTTCGTTCACGTTCTCGTTGTAATGCGGTTGCTAGACTGGGGATGTTTCTGTATTTATGAAAGGAGGACGGATTGGGATGTGGAAGGGCTACGGAGAATATCAATGGTGGTATTCGTGGTACATTGTTTATAGGACAGACTTTTATATGAGCTTAAATTCTTGTTACGTATGAAAATAGGAATTTGTACAATGGAAATACGAATGGGAAAAGGAAATATTGATCAATCTATGAAATCAAATGCAAAAGTATAGAGAATATCAAGGGTAACATTCAGGTTACGTTGCTTAAAAAATAGGATAAACTTTTGTACAAGCTTAAATTCATTTCTGTATGAAGATATCAATTTGTAGAATGAAAATACTAATGGCAAGAGGAAATATTGATCAATCTATGAAAATAAATGCAAAAGTGCAGAGAATATCAAAGGTAATATTCATGTTACGTTGCTTAGAAAATAGGATAAACTTTTGTACAAGCTTAAATTCATTTCTGTATGAAAATACTAGTGAAACTATAGAGAAATTTAGGAAATTGTCATTCTACAGGAATAATGTACGTGTTACACTGTTTAAAAAATACTACAAAATTTTGTATGAACTTACATTTATTTCTGTATGAAGATATGAATTGAAATGAAAATGCAATTTGGAAGTGTAGAAAAATGAATGAAAATATGTCTAAACGAAGGTACATATAAACAATATAAATATAAACAAGGAAATTAAACAATAATGTACACGTTAGACTGTTTATAAAATAGGACAAACTTTTGCCTAAGATAAATTTGCATAAACATCCGCAGTCTAGCAATAATCTACTGCTCCCGTTTCGCCTACGATATATCCTTTGAATAGAAGCGTTACCATCAGAGGGTAAAACGCATATACGTGTCTATGGCATTCTTTGAACGAATGTACATTTACCCTTTGAGTAAAGATGTTACCGTCAGAGAGTGAAACGTATATATGCGTCTACAGCGTTCTTCAAATCGAAATATAAGTATTGACCTGAGTAGAGATGTTAACGTCACAGGGTAAAACGCATATACGAATCACTGGCATTCTTCAAACGCATATATGCGTTTACCCTCAAGGTACAGATCGTACCATCACAGGGTGTCCGAAAAATGTTGGAGTTACTTGAAAAAGGAGGTCCGGAAGGTGATTTGAAACAACTTTTTCCTTAGCGAAAATGTTGTCCAAGGCTTCGTTAAGAGAAAACCTCGACCAATCAGAGCGCGAGTATGCCGGTGGAGCGCCCGCGGTAGCGTACGAGAGCGGCCGCCTAGCGCGTAGCCTACGCTACTGCGGGTACTCTATCGGCGTACTCGCGCTCTGATTGGTCGGGAAGCGCGGCCGCCTCGCGTTCTGATTGGTCGACGTTTTCCCTTAATATCTCCTCAACGAAGCCTCGTACAACATTTTCGCCAAAGAAAAAGTTGTTTCAAATCACCCCCCGGACCCTTTCCAATAAACTCCAAAATTTTTAGAGCGCCCCGTATACGCGTGCACGGTGTTCAGAGGGTAAAGTTCACGTATATACGCATGTACGCGACCATAATCCAGGTCTACAGCGTTCTCCGGACGTATACGCGCGTTCAGGGGGCAAATTGCCATCGTTGCGCGTCAAGGACGAATCCTAGAAACATAATCCCAACTACTCGTCGCCGGACGCTTTCCTTCGATTCGCGACTTCTTAGAAAAATTATCACTCTTCGTGAATCTCTCTTTTTGAAAAAGAAAAAAGAACTGTTCATCTCGCCTCCCCCCCCCCCCTGCTCATCGTATACACTTGTTAGAGAGTAATCTAGAGCAATAACGAATGGGATAAATGGTACGCGTTTACTGTGCCATTACTCGAGAACGTCTCTTCTTCTTTTTTTTTCTTTTTTTTTATAGAATGTAATTTTTAGGATTTCATTCGCGGACTGACAGAGACTCGGTGTTCAGTTTTTATGCTTTCCGTGGGCCGAACGATGGAAACTGTGCAACGAGCTGTTCCTTTAAGCGCTAGAAGAATCGTGATGTGTGTGTACGTGTACAGGGTGTTCCAGTTGGCGCTTGAATATTAACGTTTTGTTATGAAACGAATCCGAATCCTTTGTTGTAAGAGAAAATGGCGGAGAATAGCATTAGTTGGTTCGCGGGACTTTTTGGACCTCGAGATTTAGTCTGTCTATACAGGGTGTCCCAAAAATGTTGGAGGTCCTTGAAAGAGGTGGTTCGGGAGGTAATTTGAAACGTCTTTTTCCTTTGCAAAAATGTCGGATGGAGCTTCGTTGAGGAGATATTAATAAAAAACGTCGACCAATCAGAGCGCGAGTATACCATTGGAGCGGCCGCTCTCGTACGCTACCGCGGGCGCTCCACCGGCATACTCGCGCTCTGATTGGTCCGGGAGCGCGGCCGCCTCGCACTCTGATTGGTCGGGGTTTTCCGTTAATATCTCATCAACGAAGCCTCGCACAACATTTTCGCTAAGGAAAAAGTTGTTTCAAATCACCTCCTGATCCACCTGTTTCAAGATGTTACAACATTTTTGGGACACCCTGTATAGTGTGATCCCTGAGAGTCGATTGGGACACCCTGTATACGATCCTGTTGTAAATTTTTGTCTTTGACGAAATCAAGTATCGCGACAATTTAGCCAAAGCATTGTTTCATCGTTTCCCGATCGCATATGCGCACAAGTTTCTCGGCAAATAGTGTGCGTGCCAGCGCGCGTGTGACTGTGTTTCATTTTCTGTACATATACGTATGTAAGAGTGTATGCTGATTACTGTACTGTGCGCCCGCGCCCACACACACACACACACACAGTCATAATGGAAACGGATACGGAATTTCCACGCTTCAGTTTCCTGAGTCGTGCGTTAATTCACGGGGAAATTCACTGTTAAGTTTCAATCTGTAAGAGCATATCTTCTCTTTGGATTAACGCCAGTTTCGATCGAAACTTCCTGCTATCCTCGGCTTTGTTACTCGACGAAAAGTTGTAATTGTATTTGGACGTATGAGAGAATTGGGAACGATGCGATTCGTCTGTTTTGTCGACGTTGTTTTGTTAGGTTAACTGTTTACCGACCGGTGGTAGGCGAATGTTCTATACCTTACCGACTGGTGGTACTCGAATGTTCTACATTTCGTATTAGCACTTCATTTAGCGGTCTGTTTGGAGACAATCTACAGTTTTTATACGATAGTATACGTTAACCTAGGCTTGCGTTAATTTCTATGTATTACAAACATTGTAAATGGACGACCGAGAGCGCAGTTAGATGATAACGCTGGAATTTAAAACTAAAATGCCTGCATATGAAGTGTTAAGACTGCCATAACTCGAATATTTATATTTATAATTAAATCTAGTACCATTTTAACAAAGTATTTGCTATCGTAAAAATAGATTCATTAGTGTTCGAGCCAAAAAAACTACCAAGACTCTCGGTCGGTAAGTGTAGACTTCGAGTCTGTTAATAAGCTCCCAGTCGGTAAAGTGTACCACCACGATTATCCTTAATTCGATAACGCTGTTGCAACTGGAAAAATATTTGTTCTGGGTGGTTAACTGTGTTATCCAAGCCTGTACAATTTTTCTTTTCTTTAATCTTAGAACAAATAACTCGAAAACGTAACGATTAACGAGAAAAGTGAGAATAGCGAACGAGGAGAGGGCAGAGACTAATTAAAATACGGATGCGGTGAAACGGTGAATTAAACCAGAATTGCGTACGCGATGATAAAGAAACCAAGATAGGATATGTAGTATACAGGTATAAAATAGTACACGATAGATCTAAAACGAAATCAAATCCCATGACAATTTGTTTCGATCGGTTCGAATTGTTGCGTCGAGGTGCGAAACAGGGTAAAGTGGAATTAATAGTTTCCGTTGCGCGACCGTGTAAAGATTCGTTTGATTTTTCGCTGGTGAGTCGAACGTTTCCGAACTTTAAATGCGACGAGTGAATTTTTATCGAACTGTAGATTAATTATTTCCGTTCTCGCGATGCGAAAAAAGAAAAAACACCGGGAATATGCGTCGAATGTATTCGATTATGTTTGCAGCTGGATGAAATTATTTGTTAATCGAGGAAGGGTCGTAACCGTCGTTTCTTAATGTATACTTTTATTACGTTCGTAAACATTTTTCTGCATGGAATAGTGATCTATGTACAGAAGTCTAGCTAGCGTATTATCCACGGTCGGTACAGAAGGAAAACAGTACTGTACATTCATTCAGGATAGATCACGGACTCTGTTTTATCGACGTGATTCGCGACTTTGTTAATTTTTAATTGTGGATGCCGTTTACTTTGGAAACATCCGTTTTTAATTTTGTGTTAATACTTGATCCACTATTGTTTCATTGTTCTTTGGTTTGAGTATCTTCGAATTTTCTTCCTGTTTCGTTGCATTTGGTTAATATTTACAATTCTTGTTTTAAGCGCGAAGAAATTCTCGATCTATGACTTAGAAATTTTTGTGTAGGATAGGAATTTTTATATCCAGGATTTTATTTGTTTAACCCTTTGACTGCGAAGGACGTGTATATACGTTGCAAAAATGTTGGAGTTTCTTTGTATGGGGTGATTCGGGGGGTGATTTGGAACAACTTTTTCCTTAGCGAAAATGTTGTCCGAGATTTCGTTGAGGAGATATTAACGGAAAACGTCGACCAATCAAAGCGCGAGGCGGCCGCGCTCTCCGACCAATCAGGCCGTGAGGATGCCGTTGGAGCGGCCGCGGTAGCGTACGAGCCGCCTAGCGCGAAATCAACGCTACCGCGGCCGCTCCGTCGGTATACTCGCGCTCTGATTGGTCGGGAAGAGCTACTTCGAGCGCTCCGATTGGTCGACGTTTTCCGTTAATATCTCCTTAACGAAACCTCGGACAATATTTTCGCTGAGGAAAAAGTTGTTTCAAATCACCCCCGGAACCACCTCGTTCAAGGATTCCAATCTCCAACATTTTTCGGACAAAGGTCAAAGGGTTAATTCTTCTGTTTTAAGTACTCATGTTCCCACACCAAAGCATATTATCTTCATTTAAATGTACATTCTCACCAATTCGCCAAATGTTACTCAAAATCACAGATCTATATTCTCGAGATTTTTTATAAATTTTTTCGAGGACGTAACGATGTAATTTTGCGAGTTTTTTTATTCAAGTATCTCGTCCTCGCAGAGGTTGAAGCTAGAAATTTTTTATTCGCCAAGTTCCCCAGATATTTTGATTTTTTTTTTGTATGTATATATACTTGATCGATCTTAACGAGTTATACAATATTATTTTTTACCGAAACACCCGTTAGTTTCGTATGGAAAAATGCCAAATACATTACAGTGCGTGTAGACTGTCTCTAATTGTACGAATGGTACAACGCTGCTTTCTTTGTACAACAGGAACCTCGTTAATTGCGTGTCGCAATGATTTATTATTTAAAAATGTAGAATCTCTATTATTGCATCTTTTATACAGTAAAATACTACTACTAATTTTTTAAAATTTTATTCCGATATTTCTACAGATTCTTAATTTTATTCTCTTTTCACAGTTTCAATTTAATTCAAATTTAATTACGCACACCGACAATCGAATTTACTCGTCGGTAATTTACCTACACATCGACAGCCTCACGTGAATAACGAGTTCCTCACGAAACTATATCACTACCTGGAGAACAACATATCAATCTGTTTATTGTTAATTGTTACCGCGAACAGATTGCATTTCACGCCAGAAACATGTTTTTATAAACCTAATAATAAGTGCATTAAGAAATTGTTATCGCGTGCGTGCGCATTTGTTCGAGTCGGTACGTCGAGTATTTTTTCATTCACACTTTAAAGTGCAATAGACACGAAACGCTCGGTTTCGTGTGATCTTCGGCGACAGAAGATGTTCCCTGTATTGTCAGAACATATAGTTTACGTTAATTTGCGTTGTTTCGGACATTTAGGTGTGTTTAGATAGGAAACGGTTACTGGGTCGCTCTGTTCGTGTTTGAATTTGAATATTTCTCGCGCCCAAAACATGACGACCTGGCGGGAGCCAATTATGTGCAGAGAGAGATGCTATGTTTGGAACTCGCGCATGCGCACTGGTCTCTTAACGTCAGTGCAGTGTCTAGTAGGGTTACATAACTGGCGCCTTAGTCGCCCTTATGAATAATAGAAGTATGAAAGAATCGTTAGAAAGTTTTTCAGAGATGAATTCTTCATGCACGTAGGAAATACTGAGTATACTATAGCTATATAAAAACAATCCACGATCCAAATTCTTTCATACTTCTATAATTGGGGCGACCAAGGCGCCAGTTCCGTGGCCGTGCTACTCTCCTGAGGCTGAGCGCATGCGCGTGATCGCTGGTGACACTGGTGAAGCGGCTCAGCGAGCGGTGGACGCAGCCATTTTGTAATTTCAACTCTACGAGAAATGCGAAAGTAAAGTACAACGTAATTTCGTTCCTGAATGCTGTTCTATAATAAGAGCACGTTAACGCGTTTCTGAATCTAAATAATGCATTTTCCAGATGTACCTTCTTGTCTCTTTTGGTTCGTGGACAGAGTGCTGGGACAAATGAACCGATGCATCGTTCGTATTTATTCCGAAACTCAAGAATCATACGAAAATGCATTATTCGAATGTTTTTCGCGTTGAATGTTCACACGATTTGCAAGGACACTGCGCGCAGAAATTTTTCTTTTTTCATTTCTTGGCAAACGTGTTTCATCGATATTTTTTTTTTATCGACTCACTGTTCTCGTTGGACGCTGATGCAGCGAAAAATGATTGCGTTTGTTAACCCTTTGTAATATACTTCTTTACTGTTAATACATTCGTTTATACTTGTACGAATATATTCCTTTTGAATATCTCAATTATATATTTTTTTACGAGACTTTTATGTAATTTTTTGGTGTCTGACACATTTACCTTTATTTGTTGTCTTCGGAATTTATCTGATTATCTGATTGTAAATTCGATTGTAAATTGTATGTTTCTTTAATTTACTTGTTTGTAGCCAGGTAGGTTATTCAAAGACGAAACAAAGAAATTTTAGGGGCAGACAATAAATTTTCAACGTAAATGTATATTTCTTTTTAATTACATTTTGTAACAGAAATATAAACGTGATAGGTGAAAGCTTACACAACTGTATACAGGGTGTATCAAAATAAGTGTAAGAACCAAAATGGAGGGTAGCTGAGACGATTCTGAACAACAATTGTCTTTGCAAAAATGTTGTATGTTGCTTCGTTTTTGAATTATTAACAAGAAACCCTCCGACCAATCACAGCGTCCGATTAGCGCGCGCTCAGCCGCGAGTGGCTGACCCGTGCTACTCGGACGCTGTGATTGGTCGGTGCATCTTAGGTGGAGCCAGCCACTCGCGACTGAGCGCGCGCTAGTCAGACGCTGTGATTGGTCCATCGCTATTTGTTAATAATTCAAAAACGAAGCCTCATACGACATTTTTGCAAAAGAAATTGTCGTTCAGAATCGTCTCATCTACGTAAAATGGACTACAATTATCCATATATCAAAAATAGTTTCTATTTAACGAAGGCCATAATTATTCTAATTCTAACTCTTTTTCAGACCACAGTGAGCCTAAGGAAGACTTGCGAAAGGGACTCGTATTAACCCAGCAGGTCTAATTAATTTTTCTTGTTTATTGCTATTTATTCAATTAAACAAGATACAGACTGTAATTTTGCAAGTTGCAGGCACCGTTTCCTATAGCCACAGCCCTGCACTCCCAGCTCCCGCGCATGCGCAAGCGGCAGCCATTATTGACTCCTTACTACGTATGTGGGGCACACACACAGATACGTTGTGTCGTAGAGCGTGTATACGTGAGTTTGGATAATCCGAATGTGATTTGTCAATTCAATGATATTTAAATAATTATAAACTAAAAATTTAAGCATGTATCTAGCATCAGCCGTATAGTTACGTATAAATTCGTTATTTTTGTTGACAGCGTGATATATTATTTAATATATATAACATTAAATTCCCTCTTCTGTTTTATAGGTTATGTATCTTGACATTGACGTGAACCAATGTCTTTATACCTGAAGGAACACGAAATACTCACTTAAAAATGGTAAATTACACGAATATATATCAAACTATTTCACTTTTAACTACACTCAACGTGTAAATAATTCTTACAATAGTAAGAATAAGAATTGGCCATTCAATGAGTAACATGCGTATTCAATTAATGACATATTTCAACAAGAAAATTGTTTCTAACTTGTTAATGCAGCATATCTTGTTTGTTAATACGAGAGTAAATGCTTCGACAAAGTCTAAGACGCACTATGACACCTTGAACGTATCTCCCAATGCCACGCATAACGAAATAAAGTCGTCCTACTTCAAGCTTACAGTAAAATATCACCCTGACAAAAATAAAAGCGCGTCCGCGAAAGTACTGTTTCAAGAAGTGTCGGAGGCATACGAAGTTCTCGGCAATCACAAGCTGCGCAAGCAGTATGACAGAACTATGGCGATTAAGTCTTCTCTGGTGAACCAAATGCAAAAACCGACACCTAAGTACGAGTATTCTGATACAACGAGGCATAAAATGTACGATTTTGATGAATGGACTCGTGCTCACTACCACAATGCTTTTGAACAAAGCATGAAAAGGAAAACTATATACAAAGAGTATATGCAGAACAAACGACAGATGGAGCAAAATGAGGAAATTGATGCCACAGCGGTCATTAGTTTAGTAGGAATTGTTTCGGTATTCGTCTTCTTGATCATAGTCTACATACCTACTTCTAACGATAACGCAAAGAAGAAGAAGGTTGATTAATGTAAAATTTTTTTTCTTTAGTGAATTTTTAATTTATTGTAGATACTATGATATAATGATAATGTAAATAAAAATACTTTCATGTAAAACACAAGTACAAATATAACATATCAAGCTGTTATTTTCGATATTAAATTTCTTCCTTTGTCTATTGCAAAAAGAGTACAATTATCTTCATTGTTCGTTAATATAGGTGTATTTTGAACGCAATCGTAATCAATGCAAAATTACCTTTGCTTATTACCATAAAAAGATTACAATTATTTGTATTATTCATAATAGATGTATTTCATGTAAATTGATGTGAGGACAAAGCAAACTATTCTTATTTTACTTTGAACACAAAAGTAATCGATGCAAATTAACTGATACAACAAACATTAGGTAAATGTACATTCTTATTGTATTACTTCGTAATATATCAATTTTCATAGTGTATAATTACATTTATATTACATGGCTCGCTTGCATAGTATTTAATCTAACTATGTAAAATTGATCATATATTTAAATTCATTCAGAACGTGTTTAAAAAAAATATATATGATTATCAGGATAATATAAAATTCTGTGTACACTGTATTAATATTAAATATTACATTATTTTCAGAAAATAACATATTTCTTACGTTCCAATGTAAACGAAACATATATAAAAACTATCTTAGTTTAGAATTTGTCTCGATTAAGTTAGTACGGTCTGTAATGGGGTAGACCCGATGGGACTGGCATGGGCATCGAAACAGGTCCAGTCGGGTAAGGGACAGCTGGTGTTATGCCAGGAAAGTTGCTGGCAATCGGATAACCAGGACCACCGGAGGGATGTGATTTTCTCATCAGCTCTTTCAACTTGTCGACTTTGACCTTGCGTAGGTGCATCAGCTTTCTTCTGGATAGAAACTGATCTAGGAATTCATCCACCTCCATGTCTCCGGCCAAGAACTTTTCCGCTATAGTCTGTAGATTCAAGACATAAGAGTATCGTCACGTAAGAATATAATATATTCATTGATCGTAATGATTGTAGATGTTAGATCGTACCTCTGACTCTTCTTCGATTTCAGCAGCAGCTGTTTGCAACAGGTCTAAGGCAGTATCCACTGTCATTTCGCCAGACTTTTCCTCTGTAAATGTAATATTAAAAAACTGAATTATATATATATATATAAAGGTATTTAATTATGAACTATAGTTTCTTAGATAGGTTTTATGTTTTGAAATTGTCGAATTTAAATGTAGTTCACAATTTATTGTATCAACGTACTTATCTCATCCAGTTTTTCCTTTACGCTCGTGCACAATATGTTTCCTTTCTCGCTGAGCTCCTTTAAGATCTGTTTGCTCTCTTGCAATTCCGGTTGTTTCGATAAGTTAAACTCCGCCAAGGACCTGTTACTCGCCATTAGCATTTCCTTTTCTGTTTCCAGGTCCTTACTCTATTTTTCCAAGATAAAAATCGCGATTACACATTTGGGTACAAACATGATTTTAGAGTAAATATCAAATGCGAAAAGCATTGTAAGCTATCGTATTATCTCCAGATTACAATAATACGTTGAATTAATAAAATTTACCTGCTTTATGTCTTTGACAATATCTTCAAACTTGACATCATTGTTTAATAGCTCCTTCAACTCGTCGTTGTTTAAGTGAGAAAGTAAACCCAACGCTGCTGGTATGTCTGGTTCTTGACTTGGTTTGAACATTGTTTACCAATAATATGTAAACTTCTCAGAATTGTAATAGATTTTCTATTAAACTATTTATATACGTTTTGAGTTTTACATTTCGCAGAACACAAAGCAGTGTAAAAGATTTGAAAATGCATTAATCCCACTGACTAGAAAGTTAAGATAACTGTTAGGATATAAATTTGTTCTGTCAATGTTCAATAAAATTACTTAAATTCTAGAAAATATTGAGATATGATTCTAGAGTGTGTCGCTTTTCATCACTCACAGGTCGTCGTAAGTCATAAGCAGTCATAAGTGGTCATTGGTGGTCATAAACTAACAAATAGTGTATGCCAGATTTGTTACAAATTTTTTAGTCGATGGTGTAAGCTTATACATTCGTATACAGGGTGTCCCAAAAATATTGTAAAACCTTGAAAGGGGTGGTTTGGAAGGTAATTTGAAACAATTTTTCCCTTAGTGAAAATGTTGTACGAGGCTTCATTGGGAGATATTAACGGAAAACCTCGACCAATCAGAGCGCGAGGCGGCCGAGCTCCCCGACCAATCAGAGACCGAGGCGGCCGAGCTCCCTGACCAATCAGAGACCGAGGCGCGCCGATCTCGACCGAGCTCTACCGAGGGCGCAGTTAATCTCTGTCACTCTCTGCGTCGCAGTCAACATGACTACGTTCAGTACTGCTATTTTTTTGTTTTTAATTGTCGTCAGCGTCTCTAATAAATACGTAACCGCGGAAAATGATGAGGACGCGTCAACGGAATTGTACGTTATCGAGGGGAAAGTTTTCCCTTGGGAAAATGGACCATCGAACGGGTGGCAGCTGATGACACACGTCATGGCCAACGGTGGAGAACATTATGGTTTCTTGAGGTAAATTAAGAATGTTAATAAAAATCTCTTAATTGTCGTAATCTCAATCTCGTAAGTATTCATACCCAACCAGTAACGAACATTATTATTATTATTATTAAGCATTGGAGTTTTGGAAAACAACTTTTCACGTTTTAGGTTAGAATTCTTATTAACACTTTGACAAGTATAATTGGAAAACTAAAGAGTCTCTTCTTTAAGTGTAAGATTCAAGGTCCTAAATAATAACCTACAACTAAGTTCAAGTAGCGATAAAGTTCTGACAACTCCAATTGGTGTAGAATCCATATATTTTTATCGAGGAAATTTATTAGCTACGATTTTGATCTAACCATGTTTCTTTTTAGAGAGGACGGGACATTTATTATCTCCAACGTACCATCTGGATCGTACGTGATTGAAATTGTAAATCCAAACTCGGTCTACGAACCGGTGAGAGTGGAAATCAATTCGAAGGGGAAGTTCCGTGCACGGAAAGTGAATTTAATTCAAACGTCGCAAGTGATACAGGTTCCGTATCCACTGAAAATGAGACCACTTACACAGTTTCGTTACTTCCAAGTCAGAGAACAGTGGAAGATAACGGACTTCTTGTTTAACTCCATGGTACGAATGCGACTTTATTACTTTACTAATATTTAACAATGAAATTTAACTATGTTATCGCTTTTTTTTTTAATTCTGCGATAGGTTTTGATGATGATTTTACCACTGTTACTACTCATGATTATTCCAAAAATTATGAACGACCCTGAAACTAGGAAGGTAAACAATTCAAACAACGCGATATTATTTGAATTTTATTATAGAAAATATCCTATATTGTTTTTTATTCTCTCAGGAAATGGAACAATTAAACAATCTCACTAATTACAACATGCCAGAGATGTCTGAAGTCATAACATCATTTTTATCTGGAGGAGAAAAACAGAAAACGAAAGCAGTGAAAGCTGCAAAGAAGAGGCAGTGATCGATAACATGTTTGCATTTTTACTCTAGTCCTTTAGTTCTTAACTACACTTTAGAAATAGTAAACGTCAGATTTTTCAACTTTAAAATTTCCATACAATTTTTATTCCACTTTACAAATCGTAAACGTAACAGTGAATCGAAATGTTACTTTCAATAGATAATTACGTTCAATTCGCTAAAGATCGTGTAAACTTAATTTTATGCAAACAGAAAAATAATAAAGTACAATTTGTATGTTAATAAACTTTCAAGTATTAATGAAACTTCTAGGTTACAATGCATTTGTACATACGTCATTAATTTTCTGTTTCTTTACGCATTATTATGTGTATAATATTGTATGATTAAGTATCTTAATTATATATAAATATCACAGATTATTCATTCGTTATAAAAAGAATCTATTACTCATAAAATGATTACTAGACGGATGCTTATGCAAATTCATATTTTTATCAATTTACATAAAGAATTGAGCTTTAAATAAAGGTATGTTTTATCCTCTATAAAATATATATTATTGATAATTCAGATATTTTTGTATTTGTGTACATTCTTATTCATTGTCCAATATTTTTGTAAATGCATAAACATCCACAGTCTAATTATTAATACATAAAAATTTAACTTTTTATTCAAGTAAACTTAAATAATTACATATTTAAATTTCTGACTTGTATCATGCGTTCCCTAGCTGCCTTAAATTGTTCGAAGATATTTTCTACGTTAGTTAAAAGTTTGTCTGTGCTCAGTTTCTCAAAATAATTCAACTGATCATAATTGTTAATGGAAGTATGAGTTTGGCAAACCATATTCATTTTTAGTTTAATAGAACCACTTGGCGTAACATGCAACTCCGTTTTGTTTAATGTTTTACCTTCGTGTCCTGTAGGGATAGTACAGTACGTAACATCTTCCAGTTCGTATGTACCACCTGTAAAGAATCTCCTAAGGGAATTAACAATGCTTCCTGTTGCTCGCCATGTGGGTACATTGAACTCGTACACACCAGGTATCGCAGGCAGAGGCACAGCTGCATAGCCTTCTGTACGATACCTAAGGTGTTTCAGAATATTTTACTATATTAGTCATGATTACAGATTGCCGTATTAAATGTAATAGTAACATGTAAAATTACCTAAACCAGTTATCGAGAGATACCACTGACATTAGCAGGCGAGGCCAGTATGGTGAAATTTTGTTTGCATAGAATCCATTGGTTGACTCAAAGTTCAATGATATGTCTGCAGAGTAACCAAAATATGCAGAATTGTGATTTAAATTAGACCTTTGGGTTCTTCCAAATAGTTTATCATTTTGGTCTGCGCTCCAATGGTCTGGTAAGTCGACGTAGTAGGAAATGCAGAGACCATCGAAGAAGAAATCATGAGCAGACATGATATCAAATTTTAGGAAGATTTTGTACGTGTTGATGGATGTTAGTTGGAAACTGGGGGATAGTTCTGCCTCCTTGTAGAGAAGTTGCTCTTTGATTATCTGTCGCATAGAGTAAATTGGAGTTAAGGATTTTTTATCCGATGGTAATTAAAAGAGTAAAGTTTTTTGAACATTCTTTTAAATTTGGAAGTTGGTTAAATTTAAAAGAATTTATTATAATCGTGAAATTAAATGCAGAAGCTAGTTGAATGCAAAAGAATTTATTTCATTCATGGAATTGATTTATTTGTGACAAAAATTTATTTGTGTTTTCTCATAAGTTTTTAATTGTTTTTTCAAAAGTGAAGTATATGCAATGTAGAAGATTTTTTTAAAGGGACATTGTACCCGTATAAAAAGTATAATAATTGTAAAGAATGTTTAATTAACAGTGAAAGCAAAAGAAAAGAGCTGAAATGAAAGGATTAAAATGAAACATTTATTCAAATCCACATTACTTAAAATTCATGATGTATATCATAGAATTGTAATAGTTCAAATACAATAGTAAGAATTCATTATGTAGGCATAATATCGTTATTAATAATGTTAATGTAATAGAATGTTAACAAATGGAGGACAATTTGAAGGATATAAAATAGAATGCGAATATATGTTCGAAAAATGTTTGAGGTCATTGAAAGGGGTGGTTCGGGGGGTGATTTGAAACAACTTTTTCCTTAGCAAAAACGTTGTCCGCTACTTCGTTAAAGAGATATTAAAGAAAAACCTCGACCAATCAGAGCGTGAGGCAGCCGCACTCCCCGACCAATCAGAGAGCGCGGCCGCTTGGCGCGTAGCCTTCGCTACCGCGGGCGCTCCATTGGCATACTCGCGCTCTGATTGGTCGGGGAGCGCGGCAGTCTCGCGCTCTGATTGGTCGGGGTTTTCCGTTAATATCTCCTCAACGACGCCTCGGACAACATTTTCGCTAAGGAAAAAGTTGTTTCATATCACCTCCCGAACCACCCCTTTCAATATGTTACAACATTTTTGGGACACCCTATATTTCAAAAATTTCATCGGCAATATGGCCATTTTTTTCTACAATTCATCGAGGTAAACGAGGAAGATCGCCCGTCGTTCGGAATCGTTCAGAATGCCCTGTAATGGCCCATCCGAACACGTGGGCGAAGTTTGTTGAACACCTCGCTCTGTAGACATCGTGTATACGTATACACGTGTACACAAACGTCGATCAAAGCGAGGAAGAGAGTGTCAAGGAGTTGTTCCTTGCTCATGGAGTTCAGTTGGTCTTCAAATGTCTTTGAAACCGCACCGGCTAGATTCGGTTCAGTCGGATCGAATCGTTCGCGTCCACGAACGCTCTTTAAAACTCGAATTTTTATAATTCTCCACAAAATGTTTAACAACGGTACGTTGTTTACGGTAATACGTGTTCCCGAGCGTGTTTCGACGAAGCGCAAGATAAAACAGACGGAATCGGTTTAGTAATAATGAAAAGAAATTAGCGTGGATCGATTTCTGGGCGAATATCGAGAAACATGTTTTACCCGCAGAGAGTGATGAGACAAATCTCTGAGATCTCCTACGTGGGGTACGTATAATTTTAATCGAATTTAATTTATTATTTAGGTAATTTAAGAACGAATAAGCACGGATTAAATTCACGGATTCGAAGGGTGAAGATAATCGAAAATTATACGTGAAACGTGAAATAAATTTGAATTTGAAGAATCATAGTTTGATAAATAAATAAAAGAAAATAAGGTTCCACCTTCCAATTCGTGTTTTTCACGTTCAGATCAGTTCTCATCGTTCTACTAGTAACGAAATTATATGCAATTGTATGAAATAATTTTAAGATGCAAATCATGTCGAGTTTAAAATTCGAAATCTTTGCTCGTTGAATTGGATGGTAAAGTAGATCAGGTCCCGACCTAACAAATGCTTCATTTAGAAGTAGAGGCAGGTACTTTGCTTTTTTTTCAAAATCAAAATTCACGAGCAAAATTGTAGAGTTGAACGGAAAGGTTCTTATATATAACCGTTATTTAAGTTTCATGTAAATTAACTCTTCTACGTGATTCATGTAAAATTGATGACGTCAGTATGTGAGGTGTGACGTAATTAACTCTTCATGGGGCCCCCAAGAGTCATTACATAATTAAATACGCGTCGTCTCGCGAAAAAAATTGCAATTATTTGCTAAAATGCAAAAAAGGTGTATAGATGGAATACGCGATACGGATAGAAAGGGAAGGAAGATACAGTAGGAGAGACAGATAGAGAGAGAAAGAAGATAGAATACGCAAGGGAGGTAGAAAGAGAGAGGAGAGAGACACGCGCAAGATTCGTAGAAAGAGAAGGAAGATAGAATACGCGAGGGAGGTAGAAAGAGAGAGGAGAGAGACACGCGCAAGATTCATAGAAAGAGAAGGAAGATAGAATACGCGAGGGGAGATAGAGAGAGAAAGAAGCCAAAGCGCGTGCGCCCGTCCTCGTCTGCCAACGCATGCGCAATCGCGTTGAGGAGCCTTGGGTGAGGGTACTACGCATCGCGGGAGCGGAGCGTCACTTCGCCCAGCGACGTCGCCGAGTGAAGGTCGCTCTCCCCATAACACTTCCAAAGAGTTACATACTTTTCCCATTTACATAATATCTTTGTGTAGCCTTATATTGCGTAGTCTACATTGTAGACTCTACAATATAAGACTCTTGATGCATACTGTTTGTAAAAATGAAACAATTAATCCCAAACAAATAACGAAACAAACAAAAAACAATACATATGTATAATTATTACTTACTCTTCGTGATTCGTTTTGTATTCGTTGCAACTCCCCCGGCGACTGCTTCTCGGAAGCATGTTCGATCCAATAATTGAATTCCACGCCACTGGAATTGGCGACGCTGTAGCAACAGCCATCGGTAAAGTCGGGATCAACGGACAGAATTTTGTGCAATTTGTCGTACGTGATCGCGCACAGCACCACCTCGGAATCCTTGTCCGTGGCCGTCAAGGTTTCATCTCGTCGCGACAAATCGACCATGACATACATCTTGGAACGTTCCATGTAAAGATAATGATTAGCTCGTATCCGATTTGTATCGGGTCTCTCGTCCATTACTGATTTGTTGTATCTCTCCGGGTACGGTTTGCGATTCTGAAACTTGGGCAACGCGGTTTCGTTTCTGCTCGCCAGTTCCGTTTTGTAGGGCCGGGTTAACATGTCGTTGGCCTCGTAATAGGAATCGTGTGCCGTGTACGTGTACAATTGACGTCCTTGGACGTTCTCCTGATTGATCCGTCGGGAATAGATTTTTTGACGGTCGGTCAGGCAGTTCTTCTCGTCCCTGTAAATGCTCGCCTCCCATTGGCTGAATATCTTCTCCTGCCAGCCAAAAATACGATCCTCCTCTTCGAGATAATTCGAGTCTCTGGTATCCCCCTCGTTCTCGAGGAGATCGGCGAGCAAAGGTCTTTGCTGTACGATTCTGACTCTGGAACAATAAACACGCCGAAGATAAATACGATTTAGAAGGTGGAAACAAGCTACGCCAGATGCCTGCGAGCTAATTCTGATCCGGGCTGTTCGTTGGCGAATATAAAAACAGAGGAGCATTGTTTTAGTTGCTGTTACTGTTTTAACGAGTACAGTTACAATTGGAGAGAGAGAGAGAGAGAGAGAGAGAGAGAGAGAGAGAGAGAGAGAGTTTTCTTTTCTTTGGAATTAATTTGATTGTAATTGGGAGTTGGGACGCGTTACCTTAGTTTGAAATTAGTTATCGGTTCTTTGACTCTGTAATTGGCGGCTATTTTCTTTTTACGTATTCTGCCCGCCATTTTGTTTTTCTGTTGGAGAATGAAATGTATTTGACACTGATTAGAGATTAGGGTAGTTTCGTGGACTACGCTAGTCGACTGTTTGAATCGAAGTGAAGCGATGGTGCATTGTTTATCGATTTTCTTGTTGCCCGGCAACTAGTGGGCCATTGAACTATACTAGTATCGTTAGTATAGTGTAGTATTAGTATAGTTCAGTGGACACGTTAGCAGGCAGGGCCGTCTTAACAGCACTGTGAGTCAAAATTATTGTAGATGTATGTATCCTCGATCAGAATTCGTGATTAAAATTTGAAAAAATTGTAACTCTTGATCGGGTGAACGGATTTCAATTATCGAAACGTGGAACCGCGAGTGTTTAGATGGAGAATCTTTAAAAAAATGTCAGACCATTGAGATAATCTATTTTTCAGTCCATTTTTAGGAGAAAGTGTGCACAATTCTGCATAATTTTCAAATATTCGTAGCCCCCTTAATAATGACCATTTTGATTCGAAACTTTTTTTCCTTGTAGATCCCATGGAACCCTTCAAAAAACATACACAAAGTTTTTCTCTAAAGTGGAAACCTAATTTATTAAAAATGTAAGAATGATTTTTTGAAGAATTCCCTAGCGGGGGGCACTCTAGATTCTGTACCCCCCTTAATAATGAACATTATGATTCGAAACTTTTTTTCCTTGTAGATCTCATGGAACCCTTCATAAAACATACACGAAGTTTTTCTCTAAAGTGGAAACCTAATTTATTAAAAATGTAAGAATTCCCTAGCGGGGGTGCTTTATTGTAGTTTTATTATTCTAAAGTCGACAGTCGTGCGCCAATCGTTTGTTTACAAGCTGAACATTATGCGATATCAAGGACAAGACATGCGGAAACAAAGAATGGTTGCCAAGCGGCGCCAGGGAAATAGTAAAATAATTAATAAAGACTGTTGCGTCATAGTGTTTCCCCACGCGTAACATTGATATTTGAAAAACAAAAGGAAATTGTCTTGTCTCGAATACTGCCTTGGTAATAAATTTATAGAAGGATTGGAAATGAAAGGAGAATGAGAAAAAGATTACAAGAAATTAACATTATTTTAATAAAATAATTATTGTATCAGTTGGAATAGTATCTTGTTTTATTTTAATTAGTAATGATAAGTGGGATTAGGGATATCCTTTATTTTTTATGGTTGCACTATAGAAGCTACTATGGTAATATTTTGGAAATTTGATGTCTCGAGTAGCCGTGCAACAAAAATAATTTTCTCTACAGAGAAGAATTTATAATTTTGTTAATTGTAATTACTGAAAAATCATGAAAACGCACTTAATGCATGTCTTAAAGTACAGAATTCCATATCTCCAAGATTATCTTGTGAAACAAATTGAAAAATTTGTCGAATGTACATTAAAACATGCTTAAAATATTCCCAAGGTTAAACAGACTTAACCTTACATTATTTCTATAAAAAAAAAGTCATGGAAACGCACTTAATGGATGTCTTAAAGTGCAATTGTTTAAAACAAAATCCATTATTCCCAAAATTATCTTGCGAAATGAATTGAAAAAATTGCCAAATGTACTCTAAAACGTGCTTAAAATATTCCCAAGGTTAAACAAAATTAACCTTTCATTGTTCTTATAAAAAAAAATCATGGAAACGCACTTAATGCATGCCTTAAAGTACAATTGTTTAAAACAAAATTCATTATTCCTAAGATCATCTTGCGAAACGAATTGAAAAAATTACCAAATGTACATTAAAACGTGCTTAAGGTATCCTCAAGGTTAAACAGGTATCAAGTATATAAATATTTTCCTTTGAAAAAAAAAATTACAAAATAAATACTTAATGGCCTCCCATAATATCCTCTATCCCCCTTCCAATGATTTAAGACATCAATCAACCTAATATTGTTCGATTTTGGGCATACAACTTGTTTCCAAGGTGTAGGGCATTATTCTGTCACACCTTTTACGACACTTTCTATTCGTGCGCCGTTCGTCGAGTTCACCTGTTGCGTCGCTCGCGGTTGGGGCGTCCACTCTTTTTCGAATATTTCCCGTTACACCAAGTGATCAACGCGTCTCCTCGCACAACGACTGCATGTAGCATGTGATGGCAGATAACAGAAGATAATCCAAGTCTTTGTAGCGATTAGGATTCCTAGCTTGCAGGTATTAACCCCTTCAATCTGACTTTCTCTCTGTTTTGTGTTTCTGTTCGTTTCTCTTTCAGAAATTAATTGCATCGAAGGGTCCAATAAATCCAATCGATCTATCAATCTACAATGTTTGACTATACATCAAAATTTGTAGCCGAATAGAAACAGACAATTTGCCCCAGTGCGTATAAATTTGAATTTTTTTGGTCTCATATGTATAAATCTTGCTTGTACCGAATTCAATATCTGATTGGACCGAAGGCGATCAGAAATGTTCACCGAGGTATATACAGGATTTTGTTAGGAGATCGAAAGGTTAATAATATTTCACATGCATAGCGTTCTATATAATGTTCTTGTCGACTACCACATTTCAATCTTTGCTCTAATTCCCATTTCACGTCAATCACTGAGAATTTCTCACACTTTCTGCATCGGTTTCCTTGATTGATTTCCTAAAAAATGTACCAATCAGATAAGATAAAATAGACGAGGTGTGTCAGCACTGAGTCAGTGGGGAATGATTCAACGACTGCCCTAACAGGGAGTTAGTTAGGACAAGATTCTTAAACTGTAAGGTGCAGTGCATTTAGAGAATGTTTGGAAGATTCATTCAGAAGACATGTTACTTTAAAGATTTTATACATCTTGTCTCTCGCTCTTTTTTGACTCTTTCTTTCCATAAAAATTAATCACTGTTATTGTCAATATACCATACTAAGTATTAAATGTTAATACAGCGTAGACTTATTTCACATCTTTAATGCACTAATTTACTATATTTTGCAGAGGTTTCAAGCTGATAAGGATGCCGAACCACCAAGGCGGAGAGCCTGGGATCGAGATTCCCCTGCAATACAATGATGCTGTAAGAATTACTTCCTCGCAAGATCTTCTATTAAAATAAATAACGAATATATATATACTATATGCGTTATCTTTGATATTAACATTGTTTTTCAGCATTGGAGGAATATATTCAACAGGTTCGACTCCGATGGCGATGGGAAAATCTCGTATCAAGAATTGCGAACCATGATCCGTCTATCTGAATATTCTCACGATATTCCAGAAAGAGTCGTCCAGAGAATCATGCATAAAGCAGATTTGGATGCTTCGGGATATTTGAGCTACGAAGAATTCATAGCTATGGTACGCCAAGTTATGTTATTCTATTATAAGTCGATACATAGATCATTCGAATGAATGATTACGCTATGAAAGTTCCTGTTAACTCTTTTAATTTCAGTTATCACAAAATATTATAGCATAAGTATTCTATTATAAGTCGATACATAAATCATTTGAATGAATGATTACGCTATGAAAGTTCCTGTTAACTCTCTTAATGTCAATTATCAAAAAATATTATAATATAAGTGTTATAAATGAATAATATTTCTTAGATACACAGAAAGGATATGCAGGGAGTGTTTGGCCACCTTGTGCAGCGATATGTGCATTCGATGATACCGCAGAGGCCATGCAGTGTACAGAGACGTGATTACACTGATGGCCAGTACGAAGAGGAATACTCTTGCAAGCCTCCTCCCTTAGCGATGATTATAATATCTATGCTAGAGATTATCCTATTTATGTACGATGCAATTGCACACAAGTCACTGAGCGTGGATGGGCCAGCAGCACAATTGTTCGTTTACGATCCACACAAGAGGTACCAAGCGTGGAGATACCTGACGTACATGTTCGTACATGTGGAGTGAGTATTTGATTCTATTTTTAAATAGAAAGAGAATTATACTCAATGGAAATAGAATTATAAAAGAATTTTGAACCTTTGTACAGCTACCCTCACTTGGTGATGAACCTGCTTGTACAGATAATGTTGGGCATTCCTCTGGAGATGGTGCACAAGTGGTGGAGGGTGCTGATCATATACATAGCAGGCGTGGTTGCTGGATCGCTGGGTACGTCTGTGTCGACTCCTAAAGTACTTTTAGCAGGCGCGTCTGGCGGTGTTTACGCGTTAATTACTGCTCATGTGGCGACCATATTAATGAACTGGTCGCAGATGGAGTTCGCGGTTTTGCAATTATTAGTGTTCCTCGTTGTCACTGCTTTGGACGTTGCTCAGGCGATCTACAACCATTACACGTTAGGAATCAACGATAGGGTCGGGTACGTTGCTCATCTCGCTGGCGCTATCGCTGGCCTCTTAGTAGGCATAAACGTTCTTCGCAATCTCGAAGAGCAAACGTGGGAGAAAGTCGTATGGTGGACTAGTATTATTGTTTATGTCGCCCTCATGTCCGCTGCCATTTTGTGGAATATCCTGAATACTTCCTATTACGAATAGCAGTGGAACGCTTCCTATTTTTCTATCGAACATACAAATCTCATGATTCTTGCCCGTTATGCGCGCACACGAACAAGCACAAATTTATTTTTTTTTTTTTTATCGAAGTAGTGGAGAGAAATATTGTATAATTTAGAAGTTATACGCGCATTTATCCGAAACGAATATCAATTATTACATACTGTGATACGCGACGACTGTATGTAACGAGGAGGGACTGGTTGTTGAAGACGATATCAATGTTTAATATTCGATATTAACGCTAAACTTACATTATTCATTCGTAATAGTTCATTCGTAACTATTTCTATCGTGATGAGATGAACGACTGGTATTAAACAGACTTATTTCGATTATATGGAAATATATTTTATTTGAAACTATACTGAATGATGCATGAAACAATTGTATATGTATAATTCATATGTTGCATATTAGAATTTTACCAGTCGTAGGTTTAGTGTTAACCCTTCGACTGCAGGACAATTTTTGATGGAAATTCCAAGTGGCGTAGAGGTCTGAATATAAGAGATATATCAGTTTATAGGGAATGATAAGATGTAACTTTTTTATATTTACAAATTATTCATAGGACGTTCAGTTTCAGAGATAAGAATTAAAAACTTAGAAGACCTCTTTCCTGAAATTCAATTTTTCCAACGAATTTCTAATTTTTCAATTTTTGTTTTGGAAACTAAGCATCCTGTGGATAAACTGTAAATATAAAAAAGTTTCGTCTCGTCATCTCCTATAAGCTGATAATTAAAAAAAATTGATTTATCTAATATAAACACTTCTCGTGGGCCTATATACATATGTGTATGTCCTTCGCAGTCAAAGGGTTAATGACAGAGGATTGTATAGTTTTTGTACTGTCACGGTTACTTCAAAAATAGGATTGATATCGTCGTAATCAATTTTATAAGGCAGCTTGTAAACGAATACTTGAAGATAGTATATAAAAAATAGACAATGAACACTGAATTTTGGGAACGATGGGAACAATCGAGCAGCTAATTTGCTAATAAAATAAATGATAAAATAAGCTGTAACCAGCATCCATATTCTAAAAGGAAGGCCTTCTTTTGTACGTCCTAAAATTAAAGATATTGTTATTACTCGCAGCAGTTTGATAATATTTTATTACTCGTAGAGTTTAAGTAAGCAATGACAACATTTTCTATGAAATGTACGTAAAGTATTGTTGGCATAGGAATACTATTATCGTGAATTTCGATAATTTTTTTTTCTTTTTTTATATATATATGTATCGTAAGTTACTGTAGTTCATTGTATCGTGTATTTATGTTTCACTATGTCATATATGTACCTGATTTTGCAAATTTACTGACGCGTCGCTGAACTATCTTGAACGTTATGCAACGAGACGCGAAAAATTTCTAACGAGTGACAGCAGGGTTTTAGTTTAAATATATAATATACATAACAGAGCTTGGTAAACATACGTAAAGAACAGATTGACTATTAGAAATTATAAAAAGGGACGAGCAAGTGTTCGAAAACAATGTAAAAAGTCTCTGGTTAATAATTGAACCAGTAGACACTTCTGAAACGTATTTAATTTGTTTATTCCTTTTTTTATGAGTCCTAGTAGCCATATGGACTTATAATTCTAGAATGTAATATATAATAATATTGTGCGTAATGCTATTGGGCAGACCTCGTATAAAGTTAATGTTTAATGTAAGTTGAAGCATTTGTATTTGTACATAAGTCGAATCGTGACGATTATTTGTTAAAATAGTGTACATCGATTTACAACATAATAAAACTATTTTTAAACATATCATTGGATATCATTGTTACAACATTTTTGGAACACCCTGTATATTTTATTTGCCATAAATGCGTTATTAACACGATTCTTTGCTTTATAACGCTACCACATATATCAGTTAATGTCTTACATTTATCATTTCAATGAATACGATCATTTATTGTGCAGATATAAATTGGAAATTAGTAGGTAGTAACTGATAGTAACAGAATAAATATGTTCCATCACACAGCTTGAAGAGTGGAGGAGGAACGCGATGAACATAAAGGACAGCGAATAAAGAAGAGAACGGAGCGAGTACATCAGGGTATGCGGTAAGTTTTATCGTTCCATTCCTCGATCATACATGTATACTCTTCCATAAGTATATATGGTCGAAGGTTGCATTGTCTCCCTGAGATACCTGATCCCAGATCATGTTACACTCAGTTACACTACTCGGCGATCGAACTCCTCTACCCTCTTTGCCTCTTTGCCTATATACTGAAGGTGTACCCCTCAAGCAGCGATGCCAGACGTGACTGTCATCGCGCATGCGCACTGGTTTTACCATCAGTAAAGTATCTAATACGACCATAAAATTGGCGCTCTTAGTTGACCGAAAGAAAAATAAAATTCTGAATGAAAACTTTAAATATTTCTTATCATACAATAATATTAATTGTGTGGGTAAATTGTAACATAGTCATACTGGTGGAAATAATTTTTCGGACAAAACACATCCTTTATAACTAAAAAAAAACGGTTTTCATGGTTTAGGCGCCAACATTGCTACGGAATCATACACTGTTTCCTATAGCTACAGCACTGCGCGTTCAGCATTTCTCGACGAGCATGCGCGACTAGGAGCCACATCTGTCATCACAGTCCCCAGTGGTGGGGATGGCTTTTGTGCATTTATCGTAGGGAAATTGTGCATTTAAGGAGGCTATATTGTAACGACGTGAGGAAAAACATACTGAAACCTGGAATGTTTCCAGTGTAACACGAACTCTTTTGAACCTTTATTTGTAAGAACAATTATATTTACTTTCTTTTTAATTTCTCATTAGTTATATTCAGTGTTTCATATATTTAGTATTGTACTTATTACTCATATTTAGTATTAGCGTAAGTGTTGGATTCCCTATTTATATTTAATGATGGCAAGCGTAAAAAAAATGACATTGACAATGCAGCAGCGACTAGACGTTCTGAAGGATCTGGAGACATTCTCTGTTGAAACTGTCGCAAAGAAATATAATGTTCACCGTACAACTATTATTCGGATTCGAAAAAAAATATCAGAAATTAAAGCAATTGAACCTTTAGATTGGAAGATGAAGCAGCGTCAGAGAAACAAAAAACCTATGAACCAGGAATTGGAGAACCATTTGTTGACTTGGTTCTTTGAGAAACGAACTATAGGAGCTCATGTTACAGATGCACTGCTACTAGAAAAAGCAGTTCAATTGAAGGAGGAGTTTGGAGCATCTTCTCAATTTAAAGCAAGCAGAGGGTGGCTTTCAAAATTCAAACAGCGAAACAATATTAGATTAGTCCGTGCATATGACAAAGAAGCTAGTGCCAACAACAATGGTGAAAAACCTAGCGTCAATGACAATGACAAAAAAACTAATGCCGATGACAACGAGGAAAAACCTAGCTCTGATGACAATGGTGAAAAAGCTAATGCCGATGACAGTGAGGAAACACTTAGTGCTGATGACAATGGCGAAAAAGCTACTGCCGATGACAATGGTGCACGTCAATTTCTGACTGAGTTCTATAACTTCATGGAAGAAGAAGAAATAAATCCAGAGAATATTTATAACATGGCTGAGACTGGGTTACTGTGGAAAGCTTTACCAGTGAGAACTTTGGTGAGCAAAACAGAGAAATCTGTAAATGGACATACGATGAAAAAGGATAGGCTGACATTAGGGCTGTGTGCTAATTCCACAGGCACGCATAAACTTATGCCTCTCTTAATTTATAAGTGTAAGCAGCCAAAGGCATTGAGAAATAGCATGGATCAACTACCTGTTGTATTTCAAGCCCAAGCCAATGCGTTAATAGATCAAACCTTATTTACCGATTGGTTTGACAATTACTTTAAAAAAAGTGTTCAACAACGCCAATCAGAAACTGGACTCTGTGGAAAAGTTATTTTGTTACTAGATAATTCTGCACGTCATAAATTTCTCCCAAATTATGTACAGGATGAAAATTTTATAATTAAATATTTGCCACCAAGTACTACATCCTTGATCAAACCAATGGATCAAGGAATTATTGAAACATTCAAAAGAAGTTTTCGACACAAAATGGCTTGGAGGCTGCTCCATAACGAAGGCGATGTGAATAATTTTGATAAGCAATATACGCTACAGCATTGTATAAATATGATCGACAAAGCCTGGGGAGAAATAACAAGCAATGATATTAGAAAAGCTTGGGGTAAAATTATTACAAAAACAAAAAATAGAGCAGAATATGAAGAAGAAGAGAAAGGGGAAAATGTTGTACTAGAAATGCAACAGATTTTAACACGCATTTCGGGGCATGATACAACATGTGAAGAAATTGAAGAGTATTTTAAATCGTGTAGAATGGAAGAAGACAGAAGTTTGGAAACAATTGAAGGTACAGTCGAAAGCAGGAGTGAAGAAATGGTTAAAAAAAAAGAAAGCTATGAAGAATGGGACGAAGAAAGGGATAAAGATTGGGACGGAGAAAGGGATAAAGATTGGGACGAAGAAGTAAACGAAGAAAGGGATGAAGAAAGAAATGAAGTTGACCAAACGCTGCAACGAGGAATCCCTTTAAGTACAGAAGAAAGAGAGAAATTGGAAGATATATTCAAATACCTGGAAAGTTTCAAAAACCGCATTCTTCCTTCGTCTCAATTCCATATAGAAGGACTGAAAATAACATTTTTAGGTCTAAATGAATTCAATCAAAATATTAGGTAATACGTCAGGTTATTTTCATAAATTCATTTGACACATATTTTTTTGTAGCTGCTAATATTCAGACATTGTTTTGCCATAAATTGGAGAAATTTATGTTTATTTTTTCGAAAACTATCATTCTGAAAATTACAGCGACTAATTCCTTAACTAACTATATAACATTAGAATTATCCAGCACGATAATACAACCAGCCCTTTTCAGGGCTCCCAGATATATTTCATGGTTCGCAGGAGTTCTTTTCGTAATCAGAGCTACCCCATGTTTGTAAATACGAAACGTAAAATAAGATTATTTTTATCGTTATCGTTAATTTAAATAAATATGTATATAAAACATTGAAGTTGAGTTGAAAATGGATCTAAAGGTGTCCCAAAAATGTTGTAACACCTTGAAAGGAGATATTAACAGAAAACGTCGACCAATCAGAGCGCGAGTATACCAATGGAGTGCCCGCGGTAGCGTATCAGCGCGACCGCTTGGCGCGTTCTGACTCGCACTCTGATTGGTCGACGTTTTCTGTTAATATCTCCTCAACGAAGCCTCGGACAACATTTTCGCTAAGGAAAAAGTTGTTTCAAATCACCTCCCGAATCACCCATTTCAAGGTGCTACAACATTTTTAGGACACCCTGTATACCTATGTAAACATTAAACTCAATTAAACTATTCTATGGTAACTCACCTTAGATAACGCATGCGCAATTAAATCCTGAAAATAGAATCTTGAGCTCGCGATCTTAACGTCACCAAGAAGGAATGATATGTTTTTAAACAAGCTTCGATCTCAATTATTGAAATCGCTGTAAATCGTGTCACAATAAACACATAATTGTTTTCATCATCTTTCTTCGTACTCGATCACCATTAACATTTAACACCATGGTTTTCACGAGGAATCAAAAATTCCCTTCGGACGAAGAGTTAACAGTTCAAGAAATAAATGTTAGCTGGCCTATTCTACAGGCTGCTTCTGTCTACGTGGGAAAGAAATGCGAATGGGATAATAACGTAAGCTCCTCTTTCTCCTTTTTACTTTTTCTTTTATCCAGCTCCAAATATCTTTAACAGATTTCATTTAGGCTTCTGAATGTTACATAATTTCCTTAATGCTTGAGAATTAACCAGATGACTCGCAAACCTGACAATAGCCACCTGACATTGACCAAAGCGGACATTGAATCACTTCTTTTGTATAATAACATTTACTCCATGTTATGTTCTCCTTTCAGGAGTTTATATTATGTAAACAAGAGCTGAAGGATCCTCGTAAATGCATCCAAGAGGGGAAGAAGGTAACCGCCTGCGCGATGGAGGTGTTCCAAGGTATTAAGAAACACTGTGCGGAAGATTTCAATCGCTACGTAAGGTGTCTGGAACGATCCTCTGGCACCATGGAACTCTCCCTGTATGTTTTCCATGTAGGGAATTGTATAGGATTCTAGTACAAAGACTTTCGAACTACCACTTTGACTGTATATATATCGATTAGGTGCAGGAATACCCAAGCAGTACTTGACGATTGCGTTCTGAAGAACATGAACATCGAACGGCCTTCCTTCGGGTACTTCTGTGAAGCCAAGGTGCATGACTCGCCAAGACCAGCGCCGCAGCCTGCCAAAGAGGAATATCCAGATCGTACATGTCCAGTTGTGGAGCCTCCATATCCCAAAGCAAAATACAGTTCCCGTCATTGGTGGGCTGTATAGGTGGCGTCTGCCAGAAATTTTGTATAGTAATCGCGATACGTACTACGAAGTTGGAAGAACGAGAGCTAATATTTACATTTGTTCCATTCTGTATCGGAAATGAGTAAGAGTCCATATGATGGAAAACTGTAGATTACGAGGAAGAAATAAATATAATTGTTTGGTTGGATTCACATATCTCGCGGATTTCAGAGACGAAAAACTGTATATTTACGAGAAAAGGAGTTTCTGTTAACAGTCGATTGGATGGTCATCCAGGAATGAGAGTTAATTTCAGAGTTTGGCGAACATAATTTTTTTGTTCAATGTCTTTCCACATGAACAAAAAAATGTTGTGGAACACATGTTCGAAACACTTCATTCTCTGATGTTTATTACTTGATTTAGACTAGATGGAAATGATCAGCGTCGTTAATATCAGCACTGCTGCGTGCTCTTTTATTATTGACAGAACGTTTCTTCGCCGTTGCACAGCGAAGACATCAGAAGAGCATTGATTAGCAATTTGTTTTTGTCTTTGCGATACGTTTCGAGACGAAGGATCACCGATCCTGGTAATTATCATCGGTTCTTCATTGTGAGCAAAGCACACGAAATGTAGAGTCGATCAGAAATGTTATTTTCCAGGGCTAAACTCTACTTTCCTTTCGCATTTATTCATTTCTGAATTCTATGGTAACAAGAAAACATCGCAAACTATCGAACAACAATTTCGACGAATAAAAGATCGTTTTTTTATTTATATCTGTACAGGGTGAACCAACTGAGATTTGTAGCTAGAATATCTCCGTTGCTTTTAATGATAGGACATAGGAAAATATGTCTTATAAGAGAAATGTTTGGTTCTGAGGGAGTCATACTATGATAGAAGGAACAATTATCTCAAGGTCATATTTTCAGAGGTTTCAAGGTCAATATTATAGTCTTTTAACTGATCAAAAGACAAATCCAAACATATTATACATTTTTGGATTCGTCTTTTAATCAGTTACAAGATTACAATATTGAAAATACCTTGTTTCATTTAAAGAATATTGATAACCTAGAAATTTCAGAAAATGTGACCTTGAGTTAATTTTCTTTTGGTTATCATAGTGTAAACCTTTCTTAGCCAAACATTTTTCTCCTGAGACATATCTTTAATCATCTTTAATCTATCATTAAAAGCAACAGAGATATTTTAGTTTCGAATCTAAGATGTAACAACCTGTATAACCTCTATAACTGTATCGAACAAAGTTGTACAGCGTAGAGATTTGTAAATTAACAATTAGATTAAATTATCATTTCAATTTTTACACTTGCTGAAAAATAATATATATAATAATATATATAACTTTGATTCAAAACCTTCTTCGATATCTTTCGTAATCTAAGAGCTACAAAATCGCAAATAAATCTAATGGTTCTGTTTCTATCATTTGATTTTTCCCCTTAAAATATATAAAAAAAAGTTTTCATCGAAACAAACATTTTCCAATAATTGACGATGTTTCCTTGCAACAGAAACCACCGCGAAATTAATCCCAAAATTATGCCTATTATCGAACTATGCACGTGTGATACAATATAAACATTATATACATTAGTCACAGAACGTAGAGATTACACGTGCAATCGATTAAAGCACCACTTTGATCGTCATTCTTTCGAGTCATATATGTATATATATGTTACCTTAAAAGAATTAATCGAGAACAGTCTTTGCTTGATATCCTTGGAAGAGATACAATTTCTTGCATTGATTTAAAGCTTATCGTCTAAAATTACATAAAATGGAAGAAACTGGCGAATAGCACGGTGGCGTCGATTAAATTCAACTGCACGGGTAATCTAAATTTCTTTTGTCAGTCCTTTTGCATCTCGACATACAGTGCTACGCAAATACGGTGTCTCTCGAACACTGTCGTCGTGATTCGTATTTTCTAGTTTAATTATTCCCACCTCCGGGCTCGCGTGTCACTTTGTCTCTTCTCTCAACTATCTTTTCCAGTTTAACGCAGCGGCTTCAGGAACACCGCGTACCTGCGTAACACTGCTGCATGTACAAACAGCGGTTATGGTTTTTGAGGCACTATGCAAATTCTCGCATCACATAACGATACAATGTTACAAGGTTTCGCTCACATATTTTCTACAAGGAAAATTACAAGCAGCCGTTAGTGTTTTCATCGACTCGTCGATTCACCGAGGAAGTGTGAAATCCGTGGAATACTTGTAATCGGTAAACGTTCGTTGGGCGCTTAGTTAAAAATATTCACTCAGTTTTGATGAATGTCATGGAAGCAATTAACTGGTACGACCTAACAAACTTCTGGTAGCGTAAAATCTTCTGTTAGCTCCAAGTGATGTCGTAACCGTTCCAATTCGCGCTAGGTGCCAGATGGACTCTTCTGCCTTTGTAGAAAAATGTAACTACACCACGGTAGCCAGTTCTGGGTACGCCACTCTGCGAAAGGGGAACGAGGTGTGATTAGATTAGGGTTGCTGACTAATAAATAGTAATTGGCAGTATTTGTTACGATATAATACACTCCAGAGTATATACAGGGTGAGGTAAAATATTTTGTTTAATGATGTGAAAGGATTTCTAGGGACAAAGATGTTTGGTTACGATGGAGTCATACTGCGATACAGGAAACAATTGTCTCAGGATCATCAATGTTTTCTTAAATGGAATATTTTCAATACTATAGCATTGTAGCTGTAAAGTTATATATTACTTTTTAGCAAATGTGAAAATAGAAATGATAATTTAATTTACTTGGTAATTTATAAATCTACGCTGTGCATATTTGTTCGATACTTTTTGTAATTGAAGAGTTATACAGGTTGAGTCATCTTAGATTCGTAACTAAAATATCTCTGTTGCTTTTAATGATACAAAGATATGCTCCAGGAGTAAAATTTTTGGTTAGGAGGAGTTATACTATAACCAAAAAAAATTAACTTAAAGTCAGACTTTCTGAAATTTCTAGGTTATCAATATTCTTTAAATGAAACAGGGCATTTTCGATATTGTAATCTTGTAACTGATTATAAGACGAATTCAAAGGTGTGTAACAAAGTGACTTGAGAGGAGTTATTATTAAAATACCAGGGTGAGACATCTCTTCGTATCATTAACAAGAACGGAGATATTTTAGGTACAAATATTAATTAGGTGACCCTGTAGTTACGCACCACAGTGTAGATATCACAATTGCTATACGGAGCTTTCACATAATGTAATATATATATATGTTTGTTTCATGGTGTCAATAATTACCCTGAAGTCATCCATCAACCCAAACTGCTTAGCAGTGTTCTTGTAAGCTTGGCGAGTGTAATAAGGTATCCTCACCGCGCCTGGCGCCACGACCTTCTCGTTCTTCAACTCCGAGAAACTGACCACTGTCGACTGGTACACGTTATTGACGAAGCTTATGTCATAATTGTCCTGGCGAAATTTCTCTCGTTAAAACCAACCAACGACTTAATGCATATTTCAATAATACATGTAATAATCATTTTCTTACTTTTAACAAATACGTCAAGTTCATCTTGGTGAAATGCACGTACTGAGTATTCAGTTTAATATACTTCAAGTGCCTTTCGTAGAACATTCCGCTGGAAATGAGAAAACAGTGATAGGTAAGTGTATTTTCTTATCGTAGGAGTTACAACGATGATTATTTTCAATATTTTATTAAATTCAACTGACTTGCTCACGCCAGTCTTGCCAAACGTCCTCGTCCTCGATATTTCTGGTCGAATACACGCTCTGTTTCGACGCTGTTCTGGTTGCCTTATCCAATCATCCCAGTATCTATCGAACCAATCATTAATTATTAACATGTTTCGAGATATTCTGATAAATAAGTACTGTACTCACGATTTGGGCCATTTAGGCGACAGTTCCGCCCACAATTGTCGAGTCAGCATCCACCCCAATCCAGGGAAGAAGTCTGTCCTGTACAACACATCCACTGCACTTGGATCTACCAATCCTGCTTTGCCATTGTCATTCCACGCTGACACACACCACAGAGAGTTATCGGACACAAGCAGAGGATAGGTGCCCAGAAAGTATTCGAAGAAGTCTGGGGCTATATCCAAATCATCTAAATAAACGAACAAACTCTAAATAAACATCAATAAACTTTACGTAGAAAAACAATAAATGTCTACAAAGACGTAATAACTGTAATCGCAAAGATTACCTTCGACTATTATCACAGTTTCGTATCCAAGTTGAAAAAAGACGTGATTAAGAGCCCAACCGTAGTGACGAGCAATTTTGAAGTAGCCTTTGAACTTCTTTTCCTTAGGTGGCACTTCCACATCGGATTGATCAGGTTGCTGGAACATGTTTTCATATTTTCATCGGTGTATCAAAGGACGATACAACCAATTGATGAGAAGTTGTACGTATGTTGTACCTGTATGTGCATTATTTGGTCTCCATATCTGGCGATCACTTCAGCAGTCTGGCGGTGCTGGCAATCCTCCGATACAATGATAGGGAACTGGTCTTTACTGGGCCTGTAGTTTATCAGCTGATCCAGACATCTTTGCACGGTGATTCGATTGCAGGAGAACACCAAAACTGGTATTATGGGAGATCCGTCTGGTAGTTTTTCTTTTCTAGGAACATTGCGGGGGCCTTCGCTCTGGAAATAGAAGAAATTTAGAGGTACTGAATTAGTTATATATATGTGATACGAATTATATTGTCGTATGTGATACTTTACGGTATGTGTTAATTCTGGTTGCGAAGGCTGGACATTTTTACTGTTGGTTTCTATATTCTTCTCCTCTGGAAGAATCTTATCCTGGTTATTCGTATCTTTCTGCTTTTCGTTGGCATTTTCTTTATCTAATTTTTCTGCATGTTACAATAAAAATGTTTAAAGAACAGTTTGAATAATTTGATACTATTTATTATAATTTGAAGAATGTAAAGACGTACTTTTGCGTTGCTTGTCTTCTTTGATGTCCTGAAGAAGCTCCTGGTTCAACGCTATCTCTTGTTTTACTCTCCTTTCCAATTTACCAATCTGATTAGACACCCTAGCCTAGAAGCGATAACAACAGCAGATGTTTTTATTCTGTGAAATGTGGGAATGGTTAACGTGTGTTACCGGATCCTGTTCCTTGTTCGCCGGCTGATCAGAAATCAGAAAGTAT